AGTGGGGACAGGGAGAGAGAGCCGGCCGGAGCAGCAGAGTGAGAGTAGCTGGGGAGGCACGGCCAGGTGCGCCAGTTCTGAGGGTCCTGCATCCCGCCCCTCACTTGGGTTGGCTGCCTGCGAGGAGCCAGTCTTGCTTTGCTTAAGACTGTCAGGTGGTAAACTGCCACTCTTACTGCAGCATCCAAACAAGATGTATTTATAGACCCCTTCTAGACCACTGCTCCTTGACTGGGGCAGGCATGGGCGGGTGCCCTGCAGGACTCCTCGACAGCTTTGTCCAGACATGCATGCCTGGACCCCGTCTTGGACCTACTGGGTCTGGATCCCTGGGAGTGGGCTCTGGGGCACAGGACTTGGACATGCTCTTCAGGGGCTTCTGTGTGCACCCCGGCCTGGAGCCACTGGCCTCGCTCAGGGCCCCCTAGACCAAGTTCCAGGGAGGCACATCTCTGGGGAGTCGAGTGCCCATGCAGTCTTTGCCTTTGATGTTGTGCCTTCTGCAGAATGAGCCAAATCCCTCATCTCTGTGGGTCCCTGAGAAATTAAAGTCCACCATCAGGGTTATGCTCCAGTCTAAATACCACGTTGTTTCTTATTAATAGCTATTAAACCATCCTCCGAAGGGGTCTTAGTTGGGGATGCGCTGAGAGAGAAGAGAACAGAAAAAGCAAAAACGCAACTCTAGTGTTAAGATAAAGACGCGATAGAACAGAAGTACTTTCAAATACATTTATACCATTTTATATTACAAAAGTAGTTCTCGTTCCCTGTGAAAATTTGAAAACATGGAAAACCCAAAGAAGAAAACAAAAACGCCTCTAATCCCACCTACCAGATACAACTGTTGTTACTATTTTCATATTAACAATGAAATTGTGTCTTTCGCGTTAACAACCGTTGTTAACATTTTTGTGGGCATCTTTCTCATTAAACCACAGATTTGTAAACTCCCTTTTCTCTCACAGTAGTGAGATTACTTTTTGCATCTCATTAACATTAGTCTATGCCATCATTATTGAAAGCTGCCAGGTATCAATGAGTCTCTGAATGTTGGGCGTTGACTCGATGATGGATAGGAAATTTTGTGATTCAGGAATTTTGAATCACTCTTAGCCAAGAAGCACCCAACTGAACTCAGGCTATTGCCACAGGGTGACATCCACGAGGTCTGGCAGTGACTCATGCCACTTGCTCAGCTGGCAGCCAGGTCAGGTCGGTCTCAGTGATTTTTGTGTTGGTTTGGACCTTAATCTGAAACTGTCTGAGAACCCCCCAGGTCCTGCCCGAACCCCAGCCAACCTTCTTGAGCTTGAGGTCCCATAACTTTTCTCCTCGGCTGAGCATCACCAACAGATGTGGGAGCTGAAATTCCCTGTGGGGACCAGCTCTTCAGATCTACCCAGCACCAGAACAGTTAAAACCTGCGAGGTAGCACTGAGCTTCTGTGGTTGGTGGAGGGCGTGCCCATGAGACACTACTACTGACTAGGCCTGTGACCTCAGGAAGGGGACCAGCTCTGAGCCTCAGTTTTTTCCTCTGTGAAATGGAGAGAAGTTGGAAGGATCTTGTCCTAGGCCACAGAGTTGGAAGGATCAAATGAGATGACGCAGTGCGTCCAGCCGACCCGTGTCACACTTGATGGTCGACCTCCCGGTGTGGTCCAGTGACGAGGTGCCGACTCAAACCTCTGTTGTTCTTCCAGACAGAGTGGACTCATCGGCTGCATGAGCTTCGGGGTAAAGTCCCTCCTGACTCCGGACAAGGTGGGTCCTACAGAAGGTTCCGGAAGGGCCATCCCACTAGGCCAAGGCTGGGACAGGCAGGGGCCTTTGTCTGGAAGCCCTTGGGCAGGACTTCTGCCTGTGAGATGATGCCCACTGAGACAGATGCCCTGTGACCTGCATAACAATACTGTGTTCTTGTCACCTCTGTGACCAAGGGTTTGAGTCCCCATCTTGGTTCATTCCTGTCAGAGAGCAGTTGGTAGGCCCCAAGTCCTCCCAGGAGGCTCTGGGTCTGGTGTCTGTCATTGAGGACACTGGCAGGTCCCTTGGAGCTTGGAGCACTCCTGGGCCGGCCCTGGAGGAGGAGGGCCAGCTGCTCTCCTGGTCTGCTCCAGGAGTCCTCTCTACGTTCTCCACCAGGCTCATGTTTCTGGGCCTTGCAGGTGCTCAGGGATGAAGCGAGCATCCTCTATGGGGCTTTCCCTCAGGCTGGGCGAGGACTCTGGGATCTAGAGGCCCCTTCCTCTGGGTAGCTGGTGCCTTATCCATCTCTACCCAGAGCTGCACCCCCAAACTGGAGGCTATGGAGCAGGGGAGGGACATGCTCCTTTTACACATCCCTGGAGATGTGCTGGTGGCCTGCTGCATGGAGTTGCCAGGCCATAGAGATACCTTTTATCCTGCATGTGGGTCCCAAATACCTTGTCTTGACTGCAGCCTCAGCTTCATTCCCTCTTGGGAGATGTTCCCCACTGGGGACTGCTCAGGAGCCTCAGGATGCCTACTTTTTGTGCTTTCTATCCCTCCCTCACTCCCTCCCTTTGTTCTGTCGACAAATTTATTGGGCTCCTGCTGTATACCAGGTGCAGTGCTGGGTTTATCACAGAGTCTGCACACAGCCTAGTGGGGGAGGCAGGCATGCCAGTAGCTGGTTGTCCTCTGGGGACGGGAGGCTGCGGGAATGAGAGGGGAGGACCAGCTCTGCCAGAGCATCATGGAGGGCTTCCTGGAGGTGCAGGCATGGCAGCTCCCTTTGGGGCAGGGAGGCTGGTGTGTCTGTCTCCGCAGAGAGGCTGTTCCTGAGGGAGGCTTGCCAGCTGCTGCTTTTTGAGGGGGGTTGGTGGTGGCCTGACCTGTGCCCTCTGCCTCCTCTGAGCATGTCACACCTTCTCTTGTGACAGGAGATCAGCGGCTGGTACTACCTTCTTGGGGAGGACCTGGGCAGGACCAAGCACCTGAAGGTGGCCCGGCGGCGACTGCGGCCCCTGAGAGGTGCGTGCACACCAGCTTCAGCTTCTGCCCGGACATGCTGCTCTGCAACCCCCCACCTCCCCCACCAATGGCTTCCCACCAGCCGCGCTTCCTGCGTAGTATTATCGCCCCTGTGTTTTGTGGCACCTGTCACCTTAGGCTGCAATCAGGCCAAGGGTCCAGGGACTTCTCACATGCACCTGCTAGAATGCAGGCTGCAGGCAGCCTCTTGCTCACAACACCTTTGTTTAAGTGGCTGGACTTTCCTTGGAGAGGGTTGACCCCACGTGGTTCAGCTCCCCCCACCCCTAGCTCATGGAGGGCTGGGCTTCAGGAGCTTCCTGCTGGGCCCCTCCGAGGCTCCGTGGTCTCAGGATCCCCCCAGGCTGCCCTGCTGACCTTGGGGCGCCCACCTCTGTGGACAGGGTGTGTGGGCCCTGCTGCGAGTCCTGAGGCTTGGATTTCGCATCCCCGTCTGCTCTGTCCTCCTCGCCCTCAGGCCTGATTCCTGAGCCACTGCCTGCCTGCCCCGAGCTTGGGCATCCCCACATCCCGGAGGCCAGGAGTGACCTGGGCAGCCACATGGGCCTGGCACCCTAGCCTTGTCCTCTGGGTGGTCTGTGGAACAGACCGTTACATGCCTGCAGAAACCTTCTGACTCTGCTCTGTCACCTTTCAGACCCACTGCTGCGAATGCCAGGAGGTGGGCACGCTGAGAACGGGGAGAAACTCAAGGTAGGTGAGGACAAGCCTGGGCAGGACAGAGTGGACCTGCGCTCTGCTCTGGCTCTGAGCAGCTCCTGGTCAGCCGCTCGGCCCAGGAGACCCCTCAACAGGGCAGCATTTCGTGCCTGCAACTCAGGTTCCCTTGGCACTTGGAAACTCATCAAGTTGTGCGTTTTTAAGGGATTATTTCTCGTGCTTTTTCCGGTTACTCATGCTCAGGCAGGGGTGGGGAGAGAGCCAGGCTCTGGCCCCTGGAAATGGAAGAGTCTGGGTCTTGCTGACTTTCAGTCTCTGGAAGCCGAGTCCTCCCTTTCCCACAGGCCTCCATGGACCCTTGCTTCCCCTGGCTCTGTGTCCGAATTACCTGCTCGGGTGAGGCCCGTGTGGTGCCAGGGAGCACCCATGAATCTGAACCCGAGACCGATGGGTTCTCACTCCATCACGGTTTTAAATCTAGAGGGGAACCTTCACCTGGGGATTTTGGAGAATTGCCCCCAATTCCTTCCCTCTCTGCAGGACCTGGCAGGTGAGCTATGTTTTCTGTCACAACTAAGAGCGGGAGAAGCAGACTGGCAGTGACTGAGTGGCTGCTCTGTGCCCAGTGCTGTTGTTACTGAATTTTGTCCTCACTGCCACCTCTGAGGTGGTCGTTCCTCCCCCATCTCACAGATGAGGGGGATGTGTAAGGTTCAGAGATGTTAGGTCACTCCCTGTGGCCACACAGCCAGCAAGTAGAGGCAGGGTCTGAAGCCCGTCTGGCCACCTCTTAAGTGCCCTGTGCTATGTCCTGCCTGTGGGCTCCTTGAGAAGATAGGATGCTGGTATTTTCCACGACAATATCTAACGTTTAGGTGCATTGGAATCTGTGAAACATTTTCGCTTTCATTGACACCATTCATTCCCTCACTCATTCATTCATTAACTATTGATTGGACATCCGCATGGGCCAGGCCCTGGGTGCTAGGATATAGCCATGAACGATAAAGGGTCCTGCCCTCGTGGAGAGGACAGCCTCCAGCTGTGCTGTCCAGTATGGGAGCCACCAGCCACCTGTGGCTCCTGAGCACTTGAAATGTGGCTGGTGTGACCGAGGACCTGAATTTTAAATTTTATTTAATTTTAACTAATTTTTTTTTTAAAGATTTTATTTTTTTCCTTTTTCTCCCCAAAGCCCCCCAGTACATAGTTGTATATTCTTCGTTGTGGGTCCTTCTAGTTGTGGCATGTGGGACGCTGCCTCAGCGTGGTCTGATGAGCAGTGCCATGTCCGCGCCCAGGATTCGAACCAACGAAACACTGGGCCGCCTGCAGCGGAGTGCGCGAACTTAACCACTCGGCCACGGGGCCAGCCCCTAATTTTAACTAATTTAAAGTGACCCTGCGCATGTGTCTAGTCACTACCATATCGGAGAGCACAGGATTAGAGAAACTTGCCAGGTCTCTGCTTTCTGGGGCTTCCTTAGGAATTTCAAAGCTTTCCTCTAGCCTCAGTGGGCGAGCTGCGAAGACCTTTCTCCCTCCCTGTCCTTGCTGAGCACAGAGAGGACAGTGAGCAGGGGGCCTCGCTGGTGACTTGTGGGAATTATGTAGACATCAACACCGCAGCTTCCTAGGTGGCCTGAGAAAGTCCTGCTTTGTGCTGGATTCTGCACCCGGGCCCTGACCCTGGGGCCCTTGTTCTGAGGCGCACACGGTTTTCCAGGGCTTGTGCACTCAGAGGTGTCCGTGGGACTCAGTGAAGCGGGGGGATCGTCAGAGGCTTGGTTAGAGCAGGGGGAGAGCCCCCAGAGGTCACCTGTTCAACTCTCCCATCATGCACATGGGGAGATGCAGACACAACCTGGGTGACCTGCCCATTGTCATGCAACCAAAGCTGGGCTGTACCAAGGGACACTCTCTGGCATCAAGGATGTGAGTGGCTGGGTGGGTTTCCCCAGGGACTCCAAGGTGGGTGTAAGGGGGCTTGGCTCACCAGGTACTGCTCTACACAGCAGGGAACAAGACCTGAGTTCTGGTCCCAGCTCCACCCTCCCTGCTGTGTGACGTTATCTACTCCAGACCCCTGCTTCTTCATCGGTAGAAGGAGGGGGCTGGATCATCTGGTCTTTGGAAATCGCTTCTCGGTTTATCATCAGCCCCTTAAAGCAACCCACGTACATGCATAAGGAAACTGACTTTAAGTAGCTTCTGAGTGGCAGGCAGGTCCTCAGACTCCAAATGTTTTGTTCCTGTGTCTTGAGATGGAATGTCTATGGGTACAACCCCCAAGGCGTCGGTGGATTTTTAGGCTGGGTTCGTCCCCTGGATTTGCTCCCGGGGACGCTGGGATTTGCAGGGGGAGGCGGTGTTGTTACCGAGCAGCAGTGTTTTCTGCCTGGGTTCCCCTCCAGCCAGGGCTGTTTGTGAGAACATTGGAATCACCAAGTGGCCCCTGGCGGAGAATGCAGCCAGAACAAAGGCGCCCTCTCCCCGCCAGGGGCCGGGGGAATACTAACTAGTTGACAGGAATTTTAATATAAAACTCTCCCTCTTCCTTGTCATTCGGAGGTTTCAGGAAGCCTTCGGGCTTATCGTGCAGCGGCACACAGCACAGACAGGGCCTGGGGAGGTGAGAGGTGATTTCCTGCCATTCTTCTGCGGGGCGGGCTTCCCAGGGCGGTCATGCCAGGCTGACGGGGCGCAGTGCGGGCTCCCACTGCTGGGGGGAGAGCTGGGCTTTCATGGGGCGGCAGCCGAGGCAGGACCCGCAGCCATGAACCGCTTCAATGGGCTCTGCAAGGTGTGCTCGGAGCGCCGCTACCGCCAGGTGGGTGCTTGGCCCCATGGGGGGGGTTCGTGGGTGTCACTGGGGGGTCGGGGATGGGGGCTTCCCCAAGCAGGGCTTCTCTCCCACAGGCCCTCCTTGCCCCCTCCTGCTCCTTGCAGGGTCATTTTGCTCTCAGGGGAGGATAGAGGCAGGAGCAGGACCCGAGGTCCAGCCTTTACCCCTGCCCAGGGCTACATTGTCCTAACCGCTGACTGGGTAGTATCCTGGGTGAGGTTGTTCAGTGGATTTTCTGTTATTTTTATTTCGGGGGAGCGTAACTTACCAAAAGTATCCCAAGCCTGCAATTGAAAATGGCTAGGTTGCTGAGCAGCTGGGTTTGTGTCTTTTGCTAACTTTCCCTACTTCCGATGGGACGGCAGTGTCCGTCCTGCGTGTGTGTAAGTGATCATGAGTGTTTTTGCTTGTGTGTGAGAGAGCATGTTTCTGTGTAATGTACACATGCATGGTTTTCCTCCCCTTAGCCGTGATGCTGTGAGGCAGTCCCCAAACCCTCTGATTCTGAAGCCCAGCTTCACCGAGAGGGTCTGACCTCTCAGCCGTCCATCTCAGGGTGTAGGGCAGAGTGGGAGTGATGGCTCATTAGCCCCTGAGCCTCTTCTGGAACTGTGATGGGTATTTTTTCTTGTAAAAAGAGACCTGGGGTCACGGAGGATGAAGGCAAGCCGTGTCCAGATTCTGGAAGGGACGAGCTGGAAGGGAGCTCAGGAATGGTTCTGCTTTTTAAAATATAGAAAACTCCCTCTGTGTTTTAATGACCAGACTGGAATCTGAGTCCTGACTCCTTTGGATGGCCTTAGGTCCCAGGGAGATAGATGCCCAGGGGGGCTTCCTGCTCCGTGGCCCTGCTGCTGAGGGACCCGCCTAGTTTGCCTCCTGTCCCCTGAGTTCTCAACTCCCACCCTGCATGGTCCCACCCTGCGTGGCCCTGCTCTGCCCACCTCACCCTCCTGGAACTGGGCAGAGCGCCCCTGCGACACCAGCAACTGGGTGGCCGAGTGGTGAGGCGGAGAGGGTACTGGATTGGAGGTGAAGTCCTTGGTCACCTTGGGACTACGGGCCAGAAGACCAGGGCACCCTGGCAGTTAGAGTAGGGCCAGGCATGAGTGCAGGCTGGGCCTGGGGCTCTGGGGCTCAAGTTCAAGGCGGATCCTGTGCTAGAAACCAGCGCCGGGTTGTGAGCACCAGCTTTTAGCCGACCTGGGCTCCAATCCTGCTCTGCCTTTCTTCAGCTGCGGCTCTTGAGCACGACATGACCTCCCTGAGCCTCAGTCTCCCTGTCTGTGGAATAGGGATGATAATGTCCAGTGATGATCCTGGGAGAGTCGATGGAGTGCTGTGGATAGAGTGTCTGGCACAGAGCCCGTATGTACCTGTCGGAAGTATTCAGTAAGTGGAGGCAGTGGGAGATTGAGGTCTGGCATGACAGAGCATCAGAAACCAGGCTGGAGGGCAGAAGTGAGATGAGGGCACGGGTGAGATCTGGGAGCAGTGGCAGTTCCTGCCCTGAACAGGAAAGAGCAAGAGTCACCCCCAGGAAGGAGGGCCTCTGCCAGGAGCCACTGAGGTCCCCAAGTCAGGGCAGGGCTGCTCCCCTCCCCTCCTGACCCCAAGGCCCAAGGTCAGAGAGGAGGACTGAGAGCAAGGGGCTGCCACTTACTCACTTGGGGCCTCAGTTTCCTTCTCTGTGTAATGGGCAGCTAAAACTAGCCCTGCATTCCCCTCCGGGCTGCAACCATGGTCCGGTTCTTTGGACACTGTCCCCTCGACGTGGTTAGTGCTCACGACGGACAGAGTGAATTCTGCTTCCTTCACGCAGTCGCAGCCCCCTCACACTGAGCCAGGAGAGGAGCTTGCTTCCCGACACCCTCTCCGCTTCCCTCCTTCCTGGCCGCCAGCTGGGTTGGACTGCTGTCTGGGCTGGCTCTTCTTAGGCTGGTGCCCAGGAAGGTGAGGGGCTTCCAGTCCACTCCTACCTGGATGAGGGGATCAGGGTGTCAGGGAAGCTGTTCTCTCTAGATTCACTCTGGGACTCATCCCCAAACTCTTGGCCCTTGGCCCATGGGTGCTGGGACCTGTTTCCAGAGCCGGCGCCCGGGCAGGAGAGGCTGTGGCCCTTGGTGGGGAAGGATTGGGGAAGTGCCGGCAAGGTTTGGAGTCCCAGCTTCTGCTTGGCTTGAGGGTGGGGTTGTGGGGCCTCCTGAAGTGCCTGCTGGTCGCACGGGGTGGACCAGGCTCCTGACCTCTTCCCTCAGCCTCAGCCTGGACTTGCCGCGCTCACCCTAGAGTTTGTTTTTCTTTCTTTCTTTCCATTTTTTTCTCTTCCTGTCTTAGCTGTGTGTTTTCCCAGAATTCTTATGGGAACGGGGTATTTTCCTGCCCCCTCCCCCTTCCCCTTGTCTGTCAGGTTTCCTGTTTTACAAACTCACTTTGAATCCAGGCCCAGGGCTGGTGGGAAGCAGAGCTGCAGGGGCGTCCCCGGCAGTTTCTAAGGCCTCAGGCAACCTGCGCCCCCCAGGCCTCCCCTTCCTCGTGCCTGGCCTTTGACACAGCTGGCAGGGGAAGGCCAGGTGCCCAGCCGTGAAGAGACAACCCTTAAAGGAAGGAGCCAGAAGTCTCCTGACCGGGCCTGGACTTTTTCCAGGCTTGCTGAGCTGGCTTTTCTCACCCTGCCTGGGACCCCGTCCCCCAGGGCCCACTCGACGCCCACTTCTTCTGGGGAGTCCCTTTCCTGACTTTCGCTCCCTGAGGGCTGTTGCTCTTGTATACCCGCTCTCAGCAGCCTGGAGTCGCTCTTTGGGTAGGCGGGGCCTGGGCCTCCTGCACCCCACCGGAAGCCTACCTGGGGCACGTGGAGGGGGAGCACAGCAAGGCTGAACTGAAGGAGCCAGCAGGCCGCACCGCACCAGGCGGCTTCCGGCGGCTGCTGGGACGCTGCCGGGCAGTCCTCATTGCCTTAGCGTATGCTGACTTCCCACTGTGCCCTGAGCCTGCTGTCCAAAGTCGAGCCCATGGGACTGTTCCCAACACCGTCCTCGTGTTTTCTTCTAACACTTGTCATGTTCTGCTTTGCGTCGGAGAGATGTGCCTATCCTCGTGCCCTCTGGCATCCAGAGACTGAGGCCTCATGCTTCGGTCCCTCAGCAGGTAGTAGGAGCTTAATAATTGCTAGTCGCTTTGAAAAGAGCATCCAGGTGGCAGGACCCTTTCAGGGGACGTCTGAAAGTAGGGGCTGTGGACCTGCCGTGCACACGGGCCTTGGCGGGTACAGTGAGGTCAGCGGCGAGACCTATCTGTGTCATCACCTGCCCTCTCGCCTGGCAGCCCTCACTGGATGCCTTGAGGCCCTGGCGATGGGCTGCCCTGAGGACCCCAGCCCTTGTCCCCTGGCCCTTGGCCTGAGGTTGTGAGTGTGTGTGTCCCTGTGCCCTGGGAGGGCAGCAGTCAGGTCGGCTTCGTCTCTGGGCCCTGAGCACAGGTCCTCGCACCTCCTTTTCATGGGGGAGAGGAGGAAGGGACTGAGCAGGCGGAGGACCACAGATGACATGGAGATGGGCAGGTCCGGACACCCTTTGATAAAGGGCTGGGCTGTATGTCACCTGGGGCCAAGGAAGGCGAGTTCGCCCTTCCAAGGCTCTGTCTGTCCTGGGCCCTCCCGCCTCAGCCTAGGTCTGCCTCCTGAGCTCCCAGCCTTCCTGCTTGGCCCACAACCCCGCGCTCGAGATGCCTACGCCGAGACAGGGACGGTGAGGGGCTGGCCAGCCTCCTTCTTGGCTCTAGCTCCCTCGCAGAGGAAGGTGGCCCTGGGTTGGGAGCTGTGGGCTTCCCAACCTGGCACAGAGGCAGCAGCCTCCTGGTTTCTGGGAGTGACTGGCAGGGCTGTGTCCTAGATCACCATCCCGAGGGGGAAGGATGGCTTCGGCTTCACCATCTGCTGCGACTCTCCGGTCCGCGTCCAGGCTGTGGATTCCGGTAAGTGTGTGTCTTGGCTGATGCCGGCCCCACGCGCCCACCCTGCCCCTGGGCTTTGCAAACAAGACGTTGGAACTGGAAGGGGCTCCCTAAATGGGAGCAAAGCATCCCGGTTTTTCAAAACACAAAGAATAATATTTTTAAATGACCACAGATGAAACTGGAGGTTTGTGAAAATATACCCACTCTTTTTCTTTTTTTGTCTTTATCAAAATGAAAATAGATTTTTATATTTTGTTTCCCAATCGTTTCAAACAGGAGCTAAACCTATATTTTCAGTCATGGCTGCATGGGAAAATGAGAGTCATTTGTGAGCTCTATTTGGAATCGGTATTTTATCCTATTCCAAGCTTGATTAGCACTTAAAAATAGCCGTTCCCTCCCTATTTTTCACAAAGAAAAGACTTCGCCTAATCACAGAGTGAGCATCTTAAGAGGAGGAGCCAGGACTTGGTGATCTGGGTGTCTCCTGTGCCTGCAGGAGGTTGGCCCTCAATGAATGGTGTTGGAGGAATGAATGAAGTGTGTGAGCCTGGCAACAAGGAAGGGTTCTCAAGGGGCTGGGAGGCCTGGGGAGGTGGGGGACAGCAGAGATATGAACTGGCACTGGGGTGAGCAGGCAGGGAGGAGATGAGGGCAAAGGGGTGTCTCCCTTCAAGGCCCTGAGAGCCACCAAGGTTGGCACCTCATTTCACAGATGAAGAAACAGAGGGGCAGTCCTGGTCTGAGGTGATCGTGGAAGCAAAGGACCCCAGGTCCTTTGAGGGGGTCATGGGCTTCAAGGAGCCCTTCAGTGGCTTTTCTTTGTCCCTGCAGGGGGCCCAGCAGAGCGGGCAGGACTACAGCAACTGGACACAGTGCTGCAGCTGAACGAGAGACCCGTGGAACATTGGAAATGCGTGGAGCTGGCCCACGAGATCCGGTGACCAAGGGCAGCGGGTGGCCTGGGGCCTCAGGCAATGGCATGCCTCCCTTCCCCAGCCCTGGGCACACTGTCTCAGCCCTCCCTCCTTTGTCCAGCTGTGAGCAATTCACATTGCGTCTCAGGGAATCAGTTTCTTGGCCTGAAAATGGAAGGTTCAGGCTCAGAGCAGTTTCGGATCACAGAGCACACACAGTGGGCAAGAAGGTCTCAAATAGACCCTACGGTTCATGGCGCGGCTCCAGGGGCCGCTTTCTACTTTTGCTAATTATTTCTGCTCCTTCAGAGCTAAGCCCATTGTTTTCTAAGGACGTATGGATGTTGCAAATGTTTCAATTGCACAATTTAAAAAATTATTCTTTAAAACGTTTGAGTCCTCTAAATTTTCACCCGCTGGGGTAAAGCCCTCATGGTTCATTTTAGGTTTGCTTCTAGAATGACCGGATGAGGGGTTGCATGTCAGGACCTTGCTCACTCCTCCTCCTTGCTTGTTCTTTGCCCACGACAGACATTGCCAGTTGAGTTTAGTATTGTTTCTTGTTTAACCTGGCCTTGGCCTCAGTGTCCTTCTTGGCCTCTGCCAGTCAATTAGAGTTGACCCAAGGGAGTCCTTTGCTGTCCCTGCATTAGATGGCCTCCCCCCTCCCTTCCTGCTCTGGCACTGGGGGCTTTTCCTCTGTCCCCGACACTTCTTCTCGGCCCCTGCAGGCCCCTACCCTGGCTGACTTTGGTCTCCCCCAGACTCAACTTCTCTGTGTGATCCCCAACTTCTCTGTGTGATTCCAGGAGCTGCCCCAGCGAGATCATCCTGCTCGTGTGGCGCATGGTCCCCCAGGTCAAGCCGGGGCCAGACGGCGGGGTCCTGCGGCGGGCCTCCTGCAAGTCGACACATGACCTCCAGTCGCCCCCCAACAAGCGGGAGAAGAACTGTACCCACGGGGCCCAGGCACGGCCGGAGCAGCGCCGCAGCTGCCACCTAGTGTGTGACAGCTCGGATGGGCTGCTGCTGGGAGGCTGGGAGCGCTACACCGAGGTGGCCAAACGTGGGGGCCAGCACACCCTGCCTGCGCTGTCCCGTGCCACTGCCCCCACCGACCCCAACTATATCATCCTGGCCCCGCTGAATCCTGGGAGCCAGGTATGGACAACTGGTTTGAGGAAGATGAAGGGCATGGGTGCCTGTGCGAGGCCAGGAGGATGCGGAGACTCAAAATTGTGTTGTGAGATCCTGCATGGCGCTGGGAGTGTGGAGCAAGGAGGCTGGGTGGGGTGTGTATGCTCCGGCCTCTGCAGGGCTGTGCTGGGTAGAGAGAGCAGAGGGGTCTTTGTGGCCTCAGGGCACAGATCCAGGTCCAGAGTGGAACAGTTCACCTCAAAAGAATGCGGAGCTTTCTGCCAATCTGCACTTTCCCGCAGTGGAGTGAGCTGCGTGGTAGGGAGTGAGCCCCCTGTCATCGGAGGCATGAAAGCAGACACTGCATGATGGACTCGTGGGTTGATGGAGTGCCTGTCCCAGAACATTAGTCCCATGATATACGCTGGGAAAAAAGTGTTCTAAGGTCAAATAAGTTTGAGAAGTGTCCCATGTTCTCTTCCTATTCTGGGAGATTCCCAATGCATACTGGGCGATTCCCAATCCTCAGAGCCTGCTGGAGGCTCTGAGGGCATCCTCCTGTGAAGAGGGTGGTTTAACCTTGTTTAACGGAGCATTTCCCGAACTCCCCGGCTGGTGCACCCTTTGTGGCAGGGTTGTTAGCATCCCACAGTGCCAGGGTTCCGTGAAACGCAGTTTGGAACAAGTTGCGTAAAGGACGTTGGGGACCCAGCCAAGAGGTTAGACTTGATGACAGCCAAACTCTCAACTGGACTGTTCTGGAGGATTCTGTGTTCCCTCCAAGCCCCTCCCCCAGTTCTTTAGCAGGACTGCTGTCGTTCCCTCGTGCCCTGAGGTGCTTGCTTCCCATCCCCAGGCCCGGGCTGAGCAGCCTGCCTGGTTGTCCCTCCCAGGGGGCTGAGGTGGTTCTCCTGTCTTTCCCTTACAGCTGCTGCGGCCTGTGTACCAGGAGGATGCCATCCCCGAAGGTGAGTCTCTCCTCTGCCGCCGTGCCCTCCGAGCTCCGGAGAGATGTGGCGGGCCTGTGAGGCCGGGCCCAGCCGCCTCCTCTGAATTCAGAGGCCTTCCCGGCAGAGTCAAGACCCCCTGCATGTTGACACAGACTCTGTTTCCTCTTGGTAGCTTTTCTCCCTCACTGAACCAATGTCCTTCTTCCTCGGAGCCTGAACTCAGAAGGAAGAGAGGGGATCTAAGAGATGGTGTTCAGTTGAGAGTCATCCAGTCTCACTGAGCAGCCAATATGTTGGGTGTTGCGGGCAGCACGGTCGGGCCTGCGTGGAAGCGAGGCGTGGAGCTTGGCGCGGGTAGGCCTTGAGCTGGAGTTCTAGCTATGTGACTTTGAACAACTCATGTGCCCTCACTGAGCCTCAGTTTCTTCATCTGTCATAGGGCTGATAATTCCCCCTCAGAGGGTTGTGGAGGATTAAAGGAGAGAACGGCTGTGGGCAGCAGCCTGCGTCCTGAGAGCTGCGAGACGGAGGCTAGTTGTCTTTGAAGCACAGATGGCTCTGCTGTGTGCGTGGATTCCGCTCCTTTGGGCTTCAAGTCCTGGCCCTAGTTTTTAAGAACCAGGGAGAGAGGCTGCGCTCAAAACCCATTCCTTCTCCAGGGAAGCCTGAGATATCAATCTTGATGCTGGGGCTGGCTGGGCGTTCTGTCAGGCCCTCCATGCTCCTGCCTGAGACCTCTGACTCATATCTGGAAGGTGCAGATCAGACTTGCTGTGATCCCGATGCCCACCTTGGGCGTGCTGAGCCCTTCCTCCAGTGCCTATGGAATGCCCTTTGACCTCCCTCCTTGAGAGTGGCCTTTTCCCAGCCGTTGCCCTGCTTCCTCGCTGTCCCCCTGTGTCAGGAGTGTGGTGATGATGCTTGCTTACAGCGGGCACTTGGAAGAAGGCCTTTCTCTTTTCTGGGGAAAAGGGCTCCCATCAGGCTCAGACTTGCTGAGGAAGGCATCTTCGCTCTCTCCAGGCTGGGACACTTGGGCAGTTGCACCTGATCTGTTGGAAACGAATCTGGGTTTCTTCTGGAGAGGAGTCCAATAGTGATGCGACATTGAGTTTTTAAAAAGCTTTCAGTTGGCGCACTGCGGTAGAGTGGAGATGCCACTGCTAAATGGTGACTTCATTCAGGGCACAGCTTGGGCCGGCTCGTGTCTGTGTGTTCCAGTGCTGGACCCAGGGTGTGACGGACAGCAGGTACTCAGGACTGACTAAAGGAGAAAGGCTCCGGTTGTCTCTAAGGATTTAAAGGCTGGTCAAGGAGTAAGAGGGCAGGAGAGAGGTGTCCTCTGAGATGGGCCAGTAGTTGAGGATTGATCCCCTCTCAGCCTGAGAGATGCTTCTTGGTGTCCTGCCACCCTGTATCCATGTTTTGATTCCTCTCTGAGAATACAATACTTAGCGAACCAAGAAGGGCACAGTCATCTGAGAGGGACAGTAAGGAGATGATGATGATGTTAATGACAATGGTAACTTTTTGAATGCATTGTACTAAGAACTTGACCTTACTCCATTTATTCTTCACGATAATAATGATTTTAGTATCCAAGGACGTCTTTGCTCTTTACCAGGAATCAAGTGTCCCTAGCTGCCAGTCCTGGGGTTCAGAGGAAGGGGTGGAATTCAGGGCACAAAGCTTCCCTTAACACACTCGGGGTTCTCTAGAGGCTGAGGCTGTCGCCACGGTGCCGACTTCTGTCCCCTCCCCTGGCTGGGCTGCCTGGCCTCCTTTCAGGAGGGAGGGCTGAGCCATCCTGAGTTGAATGGGGTCTGGTGCCCTTCCGGGGCCTGGGGCACCTGCCGCCTGCGGTTGGCATGTTCCCCGGGCCCGCTGGTGCCCTGTGAAGGCGGCCAGGCCTCAGACTCGCCACTGCCGGGGTGGGATGTCTGCCAGGGTTCGCCTCGGGAGCCAGAGCAAAGCTGAGTAATTACTGTGTTTGGTCAGTGAAGCAGGTGTTAGAGCAAAAAGGGGTGATGTGGGGGTTTGGACCAAAAGGTGTAAGTGGTCGCAGGTGGGGGTGCAGGAGTTTGCCTGCACAGACCTCAGTCACTGGGTTGCAACCTGGACTATCTTCAACAAAGATGCTTCAAAACTTCAGTTTTGGAGAGCCATGCCCACCTGCCACACTTTATCCAGGCGTGCGTGGAGATGGGGCGCTAGGGTGTGACTGCCACCTACATTGGATTGATCCTGCTTTGTCCCATTTACTGGCCAAATGACTTTGGGCAAGTCATCCTACCACTCCAGGCCTCAGCTGCCTCATCTCCAAAATGGATCTAAGCCGATCTTTCCCACCTGAGGACAGAGGTGTGTGTCAGGTGGCTTTTTCATGACTCTCCAGGCCAGGGTGGAGATTCTGTGACAGCCCTATGCCGCTGGGCCAGGGAAGGGAAGAAAAGGACTCTTACAAGTCTGAGACCTGGAGCACAGGGCCCAGATTTTGGCATCAGCAAACGGTACCCTTCTTTAATTTTAGTCTGTTTGCCTCCGTCCCCTGTGGTCAGGCCTGTGTGGTTTTACCTTCTCTGGTCTAGACTTGGTCATGTTAACTTAGCCTGTCCAGGTCCACGCTGACCCTGGGACCCCGTCCATGCTGTTGCTTGGGGCCCAGCAGCCCTGTCCTAACACCAGTCCTGGTGGGGGATCGTTTGTTGGCTGGGGTTTGTAGTAATCCCTCATGCATTCACACTCCAGTGCCATTCACCCAACCCTTCGCCATCAGGTCTCCCGCGTGAGCCCCCTGCCGGCCCTGGGGCGGGCAAGGCAGCAGTCTGTGGTGTCTCTCCTTTGCAGTGGAGAAAACTCTGGCTCAGAGGGGGAAGGAACCTGTTCGGGGTTGCACAGCGTGTCTCTGGGGAAGCTGGTGCTTGAGTTCCGGTGCATTGTCCAACTCAAGTCCAGTGCAGATCTTGAGACCCAGGATGGGTTCTTCCAGCAAAGGGGCCAGGGCCTGGCGGCACAGACCCTCTGGGGCTGATGTCCAGGGCCAGATCAGATGAGCAGCTGTGTGACTGCTCCCATGCCTTTGTGCCCCTGCCCCACCCTTGTCCTGGGCTCATCAGCTTTCTGCTCTTCTCTGAGTGACTCTCCAAAGAGGCAGGAAGTGGTTTAACTTATCATGGTTTGAGTGCTGCCCCAAGATAAGGCTATGATCTGTGGTCACTAGTGGGGGAATCAACTTGTTTTCTCACCCTGCTAGGGGAGAAGGGGCCTGGGGTGGGCGGAGGAAGCAAGTGTGAAACCTTCCGAGCTGCGTTTTTCCTCTGAGATGGCAGACCTCACGTTGGTGGGGAGCTTCCCCGAGATGCAGCTGGGGTCAGGCCAGCTGTTCACCCCCTGGCTGCCAGGCCTGGGGGTGGTGGAAGGAGACCTGGGCCCTGGGACGTAGGCTGGGCATGTGGGTCGGGAGGGCTGGTCCGTTGCCCACCTGGCCGAGAACCCTTGGAGGGGTCCTAGGCATGTGCGAAGCCTGAATGCTCTGGAGTTTGCCTCCTACCTGCTTGCATCCAAGAATCCCCAACTTTTTAGCTACTCTGTGTTTCGCTCCTCTGCCCATTGGACAGGACCTGATAAAGACCAATATGCCACCCCTTGTTGAGTAGGAGTGACCATCAGTGTCCCTTAAAGAGGGCTCCCCTGCAGCCTTCTGCTCTCTCCCCTGGGGCTGTCTCTCTCTTTCTCTCTCCTTTTTCTGATTAGAATAATTTGTGAGTTGGTGGCCAAACCAGAGTGCCTCCTGGATCCAGTGACGCCTAGGATTCCCAGAGTCCCTGGGGGCAGCCGGTTAACCTGCTTTTCCAAGCGGAGGAATTAAAACACCAAGAACCATAATAAGCCAGCAGCTAACTTTATCGCACGCTTTCCAGGCTCCAGGCATTGTTCTAGGGGCTTTATTTACTTGGAGCATCTCATGTAATTTGCACAGCAACCCAGGAGCTTGCTGCTATTATTGCAGTTGAGGAAACCAAGACTCTGAGCCGGGAAGTGAGTCGCCGAAGGTCACCAAGCTAGCAAGCAGGGCAGTGGGATTTGGACACAGCCGTGTGGCCTCAAAGCTGGTGCGCTTCCCCGAGAACTGGAGCAGCAGGTGCGGCTCCTTATTCTAGATGCCTTAAGTGAGCCAGGCCGCTCCAGCTCCCATGGCTAGTAGGGGGCGGACCCCCATACATCCTGGGAACGCCCACTGACTCTGCTCCCACTGCAGAGACGGGCTCTCTAGTCCCTTTATCCATGGACCTGGGAGGCGATGGAAGGGGCGAGCTACGCTGGGCATGTGCAGGGAGCAGTGGGGATGGTGGCAGGGGGGAGAGCAGGTGCTCCTCACCTGGGGCAGCCGCTGCTCTAGTCTGATTGCTTGTTCTTTGAGGGACTGTGGGCCCGCAGAGGTCAGATCTTTTGGTTTTTCAAATATGAGAGATTTCCTGATTTTTAAAAGTACGAGGCCAAACTGATAAGTCTGACTCAGGCCCCCGGTCACCAGGCGGAGACTGCTGCCTCCATCACAGCTGGTGGTTCCCAGCTCGGTCCAGGCCCAGGAGTTGCTTGTTTACGTGTCAGCGTCTCTCATGGTATGCGAGAGAATTCCTTGAGGCCCGAGACCCTTCTGAGGCCCCCCTGTGTTCTCAGCCCTTGCGCAGGACCTGGCACCCAGGGGATGCTCGGGAATCGGCTGTTGACGGAGCGAGGCCGTGTCCCTGTCTCTGCAGAGGGGTGCCTTTGCAGGGGTGTTGGAAATGCCTCACGGCCCCCATCTCTGTTCCACAGAGTCGGGGAGTCCCAGCCAAGGGAAGCCGTACACGGGCCTGGGGAAGAAGTCCCGGCTGATGAAGACGGTGCAGACCATGAAAGGCCACGGGAACTACCAGAACTGCCCGGTCATGAGGCCGCACACCCCACACTCGAGCTACGGCACCTACGTCACCTTGGCCCCCAAGGTCCTGGTGTTCCCTGTCTTCGTCCAGGTGAGCTGGTGGCTGGCCCCAAGGGCTCTCTCTGGAGGAGGTGAGAAAGAGGAGGGTCCTTTGTCCTGAGACTCAGGGATGGTGCCTAGTTCCAGGACCCAGGGCCCCCTTTCAGGAAAGACAAATAGCTTCCGGTGCTTGGGATTCTGGGGGTTAGACCGAGGGAGGGTTCCAGGAGGAGGAACAGGGGAGTGGGGGCAGGGAAGCTGAGCAACAAGGGGGTCCCCTCCCTGTCCCCCTGACCTCCCCTTTCTCTGGGGACAGGCCAGGCACGCGAGAGCTGCCTGTTGCGATGTCACAGGGCCTGTGTGCCGAGGCTCCTCCTTCCTGGCTCGTCCAGTGGTCTGTTGTTTGGAAATGACCAAGGGAGAGCCTCAAGGTCTGGCCTCTTGTCTGCTCTCCATGGTCTTTGCAAACATGTCTGGCCAGCATCAGCCGGCGGCCTGAGATTCAGTTAGCTCTCCCTTCTCCTCTGACTTCTCCCTCTTCTTTCTTCTCTTCCTCCCCGTTTCCAAACCTTTATTTATCCCATCACCCAGATGTAACCAGTGTGAGCATTTAGCTGTCTCTTCTGTGTACATGTACACATTTAAAAAAACCAAACAGATCTTATTGTACATTTCACATCCTGTTGCCTGTTTTAAATGAAAATTGCAGCCTGAGCATTTCCCACATGATGGAATATTCTTTGAGCCTCATTGTGTAGTGGTTGCATGCTATATTATGTCCTATGGGTGTACCATATTTATTTACCCAGTTCTCTATTCAGAAACTTATGTTATGTCTACTTCTTCTGCTATTGTAAATAACTCTGTGATGAAAATCCTTGTGCATGAATGCCCCTCTGATTATTTTCTTTGGGAGAGATTCCTACAAGCGAAATGACCAGGTCATGGGTCACGAACATCTTAGAGGCTCTTTATACATATTGACAAATCGCTTTCCAGATACACTTTCTTAGTTTATCCTCTCATCGGCATTATAGAGATGACACAGCCCCAAAGGCTTCCGTTCTGACTGTGCCTTCCTTCTCTGGTCTTCCTGGCATCCCGCTGGGGGCCTGTCACCGCCCAGTGGATCTTAGAACTCACACTTGGTTAGGACACAACGCATCTCTGACAGATGGCCTCTCCCCGACAACTCCGTCCCCAGGGCATGGGCTTTGCTTTGCTCTGGGTCTCTTCTTTCTCAGGATGTAACCACAAAGGTCTTAACATCCATAGGGGTTATTTTTTGTTCTCGTGTTTTAATTTTTACAAAAAATGAAAGTCAGTTTTTAAAAAGTTATAAAACTTTTAAATTATAAAATACATGAACCAAAAATGGCATAACACTGAAATGTGTAGTTTAACAAATAAAGTGGATATCCACTGAGATAAAGGGAGGGACCACTGCCACCACGCCAGAAGCTGTGGATCTCTCTCCCTGTCACCATGCCCTCCCCCAACACCAGATGTGCCGCCTCACCTGACTATTGTCATAATCATTTCACTGCTTTTCTTTAGTTTTACTGTCTATGTGTGCTTTCCTAAGTGACCTTTTTTTGAATGTAGTTTGATGAAACCAGGCCTCGTATATTCTTTTGAGCCTGCCTTCTTTTGCCTCACCTTATTTGTAAGATCCACCCAGGTTCTTGTGTGGAGTTGATATTTGTTTCCTTGGCTTTCTTCCAGCCTTGCTTGGTGTCAGGTATCTAGAAGCCATGTTATAAATATGTATTCATGAGGATAAGTCCTGCTGGGTAATCCAGAGCTTCGGGAGCTTTCTCTGGGCTGGGCACGGGGCCGGGCTCCTCGGTGGATGGGGCAGGGTGATGGGTGGGGTGAGAGTTTTGGGTGAGAACTGGTCTCTGGAAACTAATGGCTGAGAAGGAATCAGTGAACTCAAGTGTGTTATGAATGTGGAGCAGGAACTGGCCTGGCCTTGAAGGGACTCAGGTGACCAAATCTGGGGACCTTCCCCTGAGGCATGAACAGGATGGATGGGGAGTAGGGGCGCTGGGAGGGCCCAGGAGCCAGGGGAGTGGGGGAGCTGGGAGGAGGCCTGCAAAGGCCTAGACACGTGGTTGGACTTCCTGCCAGAGAGTGGAGCTCTCATGGTGGGGAAGGTGGCAGCAACAGTTCCGCCCAGGACGAGACTGTCTGTCTTTCTGTTTCCATCTGTGTATGAGGGGGCGTGTGGTTCTTGGGGTGACAGGGCGGGCTCAGCCGGCAGACAGGGCTCTTTCTCTGTGGCTGGCTTGGGCAGGCTGCCTCCCCCCACCCCCACCATCTCCATCGGGCCTCTTGGACCTGCCCACTTTTGTCTCCAGCCTTTAGATCTCTGTAACCCTGCCCGGACCCTCCTGTTGTCAGAGGAGCTGCTGCTGTACGAGGGGAGGAACAAGGCTGCGGAGGTAAGACTCACACACGTGTTTCCCAGCTGGGGTTTTCTGGTGGGTTGCATCAGCCATCGTCCGAGCCTCTAACGTTTCTCTCTTCCTGATGGTTTTAGAATTCTAAATCTCAGGGTGGAAGAAACCTGCAAAGTCTTCCATCCCCCTCCACGCCCTCCTTACCAAATGGCTACCCAGCTTTTTCTTGCACATTTCCATCGATGGGGAACTCACCACCTCTCAAAGCTGTTTAGTCCATCTTTGATGGTTAGAAAGTTTTTCCAACCCTGAAAGACATCCCCTTGTTTATGCCGACTTCCTCTAAGGGGCAGAAGAGATGGCAGTTCACCCTAGCTATGATGAATGACTTTGTGGGTGAGAAGATTAAAGCAATCAGCCAAAGAGAATTTTTAGAGGAGCATCAGTTACCCAGGTTTTCTGTGTCTGTATTAACCTAAATCTCAAATCCTCTTCTGAGGGATAAGTGTGTGATTGCTTCTGGGCTCAGCTCTGCCCACAGAGGCCTGGGTGGGGAGACCATGACATTCTTCCAGGCTGCTCCTGGCTTATCTCTAACGGGGGGAATTTCGCTCACCCACATGATCCCCAGAGCTGGCCAGGTTCCAGCACAGTCCCGTGAGCCTAGATCTACTTGGGCATGGAAAGCGGAGCCCTGGGAGCTGACTGGACTACCTGGGGGCCTTGAAGAGAGGAGCTGGGGGCTTGCTGCAGGTCAGGCCCTGACTCAGCGCTGGCAGCGTGGCTTGGCTGAGTTGAGTGGTGGCTTGCGGTAGTCAGAAAGATCAGGAAACTTGGAGGCAGGAAGCATGGAGCTGGCTCCCGCCCTGCTGGCTCACTCGTGACTTTTTCCTCTTCAGCCCTCTCCTCTGAGCAGTGGGTGGGTGTGTATTTGAGGCAGCCGAGGTTGCCTGATCTCTAGGAGCGCTTTCCGCCTCGGCATCCTGGGACATCATGTGTAATTATGGCTAAAGCAGGTTGTTGCCTTTTTTTTTTTTTTAAACAAGCAGACTAGAACTCACATACTATTCCAAATGAGCGTCGTCTCTTCCAAGGGAACTTCCTGGGCAGGCTTTGTGCTTATTTCTACCACACTGGCCTTGCTCACTACGTTTCTTTGGGAACTTTCTTAAGAACCTCAGCACGTCCTCTGAATTGGGGGTAAAACTTCATCTGCTGAGGGAGATTGGAGTTTTAGGAACAAGAAGGCACTTGGAGCTGTGCTTGGTGAGTAAGTGGGGAGGGCTAGAGCTAAGACAGGTGGCCAAGGGACAGAAAGTGAGGTGTGGCTATAAATTCACAAGCCTCAGAAGAAGTCAGCCACCCTGAAACACACAAATATGTCTAAATTTGCTCTTTGTTTGTCAGCTCACCAATGAGTCTGCAAACACTGAGCACTTCTTGTGTGTATCCTCACTGTGCATGCATTTTACACACCAGCTCTCAATTAGCTGTTGCAGCACCCCCATGAGAGGCACAATTGTCCCCACTCTACTGATGAGAAAACTGAGGCCCCACCGAGATGAACTGGGGCCTGAGGGTCTCGAGGCTCATGAGAGATGGAGCCAGGATTAGCACTCGGATCCCTGGCTCACCTGTGTTTTCCCGCATCCCATGCCACCTCTGGCATGTTGGTTTCAAAACAAACTAGCAAGCACGAGCTGAAGCAATGGGCTGACTCCTGTTCCAATCTGTCAAAAAAATCTCTGCCTGGTGGATCTGTGGAGCCTTAGAAGAGACTCCTTTTGGAGACTGAAAGAAGCGATTTGAAGACAAGTAAAATAAAGACACTTCTTTTTCTTGAAGTGTGCTAGGAAGCAAAGATGTGGATCGTGTTATTCAGGCCTAAAATATAGCCCAACTCCTGAGGAGTTGGCTGAGTTTGTAGAAGGGCAGTGTTGGTTGGGGCCTCACGAGTCATCCGTGCTGATCGTCTCCCTGTGACTTTCTAGCTGATGGTTTTCCAGCCAGTTCGTGAGTCTGTATAGGCAGCCCCTCCAGGCAGCAGTTTTGTTACCGGAGAGCGCTAAATTGTAGCAAGTTCGCCCTCACGCTCCACAGAGTTCTTTATTCCTGGAACGTTCCCCGTGGGTTCTTTGTCCCATCTCTTCTCTGAATAAGCTCCAGTTTGCTAATGTCTGTGAGCTGCTCCAGTCCCACACTGTGAACTGCCCTCATCTTCCCTCTCCCACAAGTCACAAACTTGATTAATGTGCCCTGAGATCAAATCAGCATCTGGAGCAGCCTCATTTCTACATTCCAGCCTTGGTTACGGAGCATCTAGAGTGTAGCCAGGCCCTGTGCTAGAGGTTCCGTCCTGTGGGGCACAAGACAGACACGCCCTCACTTTGCGCACTGACTCATTGAGTTTACCATTAATTAGGCACCAAGGTCTTTTCTGTAAACCCTGCCCTTGGGCACGATTCCCAGAGGAAGCTTGCTTAGGGCTACTTGGGAGAAGTGACCCTCCAAGTTCAAGGATTTCCTAAGCAAGCGATCCCTCCACCTTGACCCTTTGGAAAAATAGGTGTGTCTTTGGAGCAAGTGTGGGGAAGACACCTGGCGGCCCCCATGGCCTGTTGTGGAAGGCAGCAGGTGACTGGGCCGTGGAGATGGGAGCAAGGCCAGCAAGATGCTGGTGAGCCAGGAGGGGGGCCCACCTGCCCTCCCTGGCACGCTCGCCCCTCGGCCCTGGCCCTGCCTCCCGCTGTGTGCCAGTGCTGTCCTTTCCCTGACCCGACCTTTGGGGAAATTCTTCATTCATGCCTTAATCACTTCCTGTCTAGACCAGGTTCTCAGCTCTGGGAGTCGGGGCCAGAGTGGCAGTCAGAGCCTTTCTCACCTTGCCCGACTCTTCTCCATCCACCCCTCTCTGGGCCTGGGCCATCGTGTGACTTTTTGGGCTCCTGACAGACTGTCTCCTCCACCCCCTCCCCTGCCAGCTTCCAGGTGAGTCCGGAGATGGCTTCGAGGCTTCCTGTGAGTGGGTCGGGGAGCCTGAGCTTTGCCTTGTGTTCAGCCAGTTGAGCGCCTCCTCCGTCCCACTGTTTGGACTTGGAAGTCCTCCCCTCAGACAACCAACCTCTCAAATCCTTCTGAACTCTCCCATCATTTTCTTCCCCTCTCTTAACTTCATTTTTTTTGGAGGGGTGGGGGGGGTCTCCTTAGCTTCTCTTTTTTGATCCCAGCTTGAGTTCTTTCACATTCAGGGACAGGCCCGCTGTAGGCCTACTGCTACCTCTGTGTACAGTGAGAGCCTGGGGTCAGCCAGACCTGGGCAGTGGTCCCTGGCTGTGTGGCCTTGGACAGGTTACTTAACCTCTCTGTGCTGCAAGGTCCTCATGTATAAATGAGGCCATGACATTGTTTATAAGTGAGGATCCACTGAGCGGAAAGTAAGTACTCAACAAAGGAGGCTTCTGTTGGGCTGTGTTGTGTCAGGGCTGTGTTGGAAAGTGGGTTGGAGAGAGTCACGGCCAGGACCCTTTCGGTCCAGGGTTCTGGAGCCTTCATGTTGGGTTCCCATTGGAACCTCCTGCTCAGGAATGCCCCCTATCGTCTCTGTGACCCAGACTCCCTCAAACCTCTTGAGTTACACTGAAGACGCCAAGTGGTCCTTTGAAAAACATTTATATACTTTTAAATCACAAAAGTAACAGCTTCTCATTGTCGTATAAGGCAAATTCAACAGAAATAAATGAAGTAAGATGCCACTCCCCAGAGAGAAGAGTGTGGTGAGTGTCTTAAACATGTTAAAAATGTGTAGCGGGCCGGCCCGGTGGCACAGCAGTTAAGTGCGTACGTTCTGCTTCGGCAGCCCAGGGTTTGCCGGTGCGGACATGGCACTGCTTGGCAAGCCATGCTGTGGTAGGCATCCCACATATAAAGTAGAGGAAGATGGGCACGGATGTTAGCTCAGGGCCAGTCTTCCTCAGCAAAAAGAGGAGGATTGGCAACAGATATTAGCTCAGGGCTAATCTTCCTCAAAAAAAAAAAAGTATAAACAGATTGACAGTTTTATTTTACCAAACTGGATTCCACTGTAGATATTTTTGCACGTTGCACTATTTTGACTTATGATGAACAGATTTCCATTTCTGCCCCCATGGGGCACTTCTTTATTCTCTTAAGAGTTGCATTCAAGTTCTACCGTAGGAAGGTAGCATAGTCTGTTTTATCCATTCTCTCTTGATGAGTGTTTATGTTCTTTTTTTTTTAATTACAAAAATGCTGCTGAGAACATCCTTATGGGTTCATATTTGTGTATCCCTGTAAGTATTTCTGTAGGATAGCGACTCAGAGTTAGAGGTGCGAGATCATCTTTACCAGTCAGATGGCTAAATGTTGGCTTTTTAAACTTCCGCCACAAAGTCACGCTCACCCACTGTGGCCCCCCACCTCCCCCGACCCCCGGCCAGCCAAGCCCTTGGGCTCACGCTTCTTACTTCAGGAGAGACGAAGTGTCAGAGTTTGATGTCTCAGAGGGCGGTTCACATCATTAATAATATTTTGTTTTCTTTGGAGAATCTAAAATTGGATTTTATTGCTTTTGACTAAAGTCCACTGCAGGATTTACAAAACAAAGAACAGTGTAATCTGTAGCGGCATTAGAGGATCAAGTGGATTTTTGTAGCATAAAAATATGCCAAGCATGCCTGTTGGTTTACCTATACTGTCTAAAAATAACTTTCTCCTTTATTTTTGGAGGAGCTAGTGCGTTAAAGAGATAAAAGTTCTGTACGTGGCTGTCTTGGAGCTAAGTAACTGGCTTTTTCTTGAACTGATTGCGCCTTATCGCAGTTAAAATTATCCGCAAGGAATTTGGTAATAATACCCACATTGCACAATGCTTCGATTGATAGTCTACAGGAGCTTGTGAAAGGCACCTGGGAGGAAGCCGGGCGGGGACTCGCCTGTTTGTAAAGATGAGAAAACCGAGGCGACGGGGCTCAGGGACTTAACCAGTTTTCATGGCTACTTACTGGGAGAGGAGCCTCCTGACTTCGGACTCCAAGCCCAGTGCTCTCTCAGCCAGACCTTTAGAGGACGATGCAAGCGAATGTGGGACATTCTGCAGCTCAAGGGTGGCTCTGAGCCAAGGGCGCTGGGCTGGGGATTCCAGGGGTGTTTGGCTAGAGAGGTGGGCCTGTGGGGTGTCAGGCCTGGAGAGGTGTGTTGAGGTCATCTGCCAGGGAACGTGAGGGTCCGTTCTGTTCTTTGTTTTTTCCTACTCTGAAGAGTGGAGATGTAGAAATCTGTAGGGCAAGGGGGCAGTTTCGACTGCAGACCAGTTTCTGCCCTTGGCTAAGTCTTGCCCTGTCTGGGATGACGAGGACTCCTTGCTCAGAGCCCCAGGGGAAGTGGTGGCTCCTGGTCTCTGGGACAGCTGAGCAGCTGGTTCTCTTTGCTCTCTCCTGACGCAGGTGACGCTGTTTGCCTATTCGGACCTGCTGCTCTTCACCAAGGAGGACGAGCCTGGCCGCTGCAACGTCCTGAGGAACCCGCTCTACCTGCAGAGCGTGAAGCTGCAGGAAGGTATGCACGAGCCCAAGGTGCCCGCATCCCCTCCCCGCTTGCCCCGAGGCCTGCTGCTCTGGGTCGCCTGGATGCTCAGGGTGGGTCCAGCCCTCTGGCCGCTGAGCCGCCAGTTATCAGTGGGGCATTTGAGCATGCGTGGTCAGGTCCTGTCCTGGGCTGGTGGACTCTCAGACATTGGCATTCCACTAGGCTGGCAAGCCTCCATGGACACCCTGAGCTTTGCTGGGAGGTTTCTGTTCCAGAGATGTTTCAGGGAGGTTATGGAGTGGAGTGGGAAGAGAGCGCTGGCCTCAGACAGACCTGTGTTCAAGTCTCGGCCCTGTCCTTCGCTACCTGTGTGACCTTAGGAAAGCTACTCAACCTCTCTGAGCCTGTTTCCTCATGTGTAAAGGTGATAGTATCTCAGAAGGTTGTTGTGAAGGTCAAATTAGGTCATCTATGCAAAGGTTCTGGCCCACACCAGGTGCCCAATAAATGCTGGTCGTCACCCTACTCACCACACATATTCGGGACAAGAGGCCGCTGCTCTCTCTCCGCTCGGCTGCATCCCCCAGGCCAGAGCCTGAGGAGGCTGGAGCACGGGGGGCTGTGGGCAGGCGAGCAGGAGCACGTGGGAGCGTGGAATGACTGTCTACCCCAAACTTTCCATCGCGCCCTCCTCCCCTCGGGAACGGGAAGCCAGCTGGGAGTATCTGCTGAGCGGTTTGGTTTGGCGCCTGAGGTCCCTGCAGAGAGGGGCTCAATTTCCTCTCCCAGATTATGAAAACAACAACAGACCTGCTGGAGCAGGGGTGACAGGGGCAGGGAGGAAAATATTACCCGGCAAAAGAATTCTGTTTTGACGGGTTTTGCTCCAGGAAAACTTCCTGCCTGTTTGCAAACCCGGCCCGTGTGCTGGGCGCCCCTGTTGTTCCTCCTCCTTACAACCGGCCTCGTGAGAACCGCCACGCTCCCGCCCTGCAGGAAGTCACTTATGACTTCTCCTTCTTGGCCTCTGGCTTTCTCCTGCCCACTGACCAGGGTGGCCACTGGGGGGAAAAGGCAAGTCACCTTGCTCGGGGGGCCGGCCCCTCCCTCGGGGCGGGCTTGGCCTGATCAAGGGCGGAGGTTGAGGAGCCGCCCTCTGCACAAGTTCAGCTCCGATGCTGGTGGTCCAGGGAGCTCCCCGGTGCCCGCCCGCCACCGGAGCGGGGCAGGTGAGAGCTACAGCGACTCTGCCTTTGGCTTCCCTGCTGCCCTGCACCTCCCTCCCTCCACCCAGCCTCCCCTACATGCCCATTCTCCCGTCCCTCCCACCCCCTGCACGCTTACACACACACTCACACACACACCCTCAAACTGCGCAGTCCCTTCCTCTGTGGACCTGCCCGCCCCCCACTCAGGCATCTGGGACCCAGGCCCTTTGAGGGGTGGTGCTCCGTAATACACGCTGACTGATTATAGAGCCACACTCTTATCTGTTGTGCTCATCCCTCGGGTCTGGGGCCGCAAGCCCAGGACCCTGGTCTGCTCAGCCTCCTGCTGAAAGGAGGGACTCAAACTGGCTGTGCTTTGGGAGGGTGTTGGGATGGGAGCGAAAGGGCCAGTGGTAGAGTAGGGGGTAGTTTCTGGGAGTTTGGGGTGACTGACATTGACTGGCCCTTTCCCTTTTGGGGCTTTAGTTTCTGTGGGTGGGGGGTTGGGTCAGCTCTTGTGTTTTCCCCTGGCCCTGACATCCCCAGACACACCCTGCGGTTGCTGTGAGAAGCTGGACAGTGCCCGTTTGTCCTGCTCCATCCCTCAGGGGAGCCTCCACCAAGAATGGGTTGGATGGTCCCCTCCTGGAGCCCCCAGACCCAAGGTTGGAAGTTAGAGGCAGGGTGTGCTCCACCTTCCACGGGGGGGGTAGCTGGTCAGGGTGGGTGCTATGGGGCCTTGAGGTGCTGTGGAGAAACCTTCCAGGTGCTGAGCCCACGTGAGCGACAGCCTTGTGCGGTCATGGCTTCCTTGGGCTGGAGACCACATCCTCTCCCCGCAGATGGCAGGCTGAGGGTGGCCAAGGCCAGCACTCCCCAGGGGAGATGGCCACCGCCATTAGAGCCTGTTTGTTGGCATGGGAGATGGGTGTGTGTATGTGTGTGCATGTGTGTGCCTGTCCTGGGCTTGCTGGGCAAATGGTTTGGTGCAGACAAATTGTCTTGCCCGTCTCCAGCAGTGGCAGTCAGCACACACGGTGAATGTGGCTCTCCAGGGAGCCTGGGCGCTGCTGGGAGGGAAGGAAATGGCTCAGGGACAGCAAGCACTCAAGGTGCATGTTCCATCGCCAAGATCTCTTCCCAGGCGTTGGCAGAGCCCGGGCTTCCTCCCCTGCCTGCCTCCCTCCGTGAGACAGGCTTGTGGGTCCTGGGGCTCACAGAAGTTCGGTGACCCCTCCTCCTGCAGCTGGAGTTGGAGCCACAGGACTCGGTGTTCTGTGTCCTGGTGCCCGACTTCCTGCCTGCCTCCTGGGTGCCCCCAGAGACCCGCTGAGGCAGCAAGGCCTGCGTGAGGCTTTTAAGAGATGCATTTGGGGCCTCAGCTGGAGCTTCTGTTGGCCGAATGGTCTCTGATTAACATTACTCACAACTGCTGGGTTTCTAGTCTCTTTCAAATCAACTTGTGCGGAGAGTTCAATGTGGGCAAAGAAGACGGTGGACAAGGAGCACAGCCAGCCTTTCCTGGGGGCTGGGGCTGGCGAGGGTCGTTCCCCGGCAGGGGGAGAATTTGCCCCACCCAGGGACCATAAACTCTTTCTGACACTTGTCTGAAGGGTGTTTAGCTCTGCTGGCCAAGTGTACTCCCAGGGTCTAGCAAAGGGCACAGAACGTCATGGGTGCCCAGTGACTGTTTGTTGAGTGAATGAATGAATGACTGAAAGGAGACCAGAAGCACTGCCTCAGCTCAGGGGGCTGCGAGGGCGCTCCTCCCCCTGGGCTCCCTGCTGGTGGCCACTTAAACCTTGCCTGCCCTCCTCCTGCCCAGCTTCCCCCAAGCTTCAGTGGGGCTGAGTGGCAGTGTAATGGGAACGGGCAGAGAGCGGGAGCTAACAATTGGGACATCTCCGGTCAGCCGGGGCCCATTGTGGTCTCTTCCTGCCTCTGCCGCCCACTGGCTTTGCTGCTCTTTGTGTTTCTGCCGCCCAGGCGGCCAGCATCCCTCCCACAGCATGTCTTCCTGACCTGCTTGGGTCTCTCAGGATGGCCTGGAAATGTCCAGCTGATTCTTGGGCTCTCCCTCCATGCTGGGGAGCAGGTGCCCAGCCTTGGAAACTCAGCTGCTTAGGTCCCAGCCGCTGGAATGCTTGGAGTTAAAGTTAGTCTGTAACCATCTTCTGAGCACATCCTCAGAGCCCACCTCAGTGCTGACCCCGAGGCGATGGCAGTGGAAGAGACGCATTCCCACTTCTGGGGCACATAGCTGGTGGAATGACTGATGAGTCAGCTGGTTGGGGGGCACAAGTGTGACAGAGTGGTCAGAACCCAGGCTTCGGAGGCAGGTGGTCCTGGGTTCAAATCTCAGCTCTGCCGCTTACTCGCTGTATGCCTCGTGTAAGTTGTTTTCCCTCCCTGGAACTCAGTTTCTGCGTCTGGAAAATGGACACAACAGCCCTCCTGGCGTGTCTCGCAGGATGCAGAGGGCTTAGAGAATGGTTGAGTTTGGGATCTCGGACCAGGCCTGACACGGCTCTGGGAAAATGACAGAGGGGTCAGACCCGGGTGTTGAAGCCGTCTCTGGGCCCCACCCAGCCCATGACTGTGGATCGCCCCCTGTCTGGCCCACGCATTCCGTGGTGCGAAGCAAGCCCCACCCTGGGACCAAATTTCTCCTTGTTAAATTTTCAAATGGCTAAAGCAGTTGGAGTGTTGGATGGAAAACCCGAATGTGTGCTGCTTCACTGTTTCTTTTCCTTCGCACTCGTCCCTGTTTCCACACTCTGGAAAGTCCAGAGCCCCATCTAATGTTCCAGGAAGGTTTCTGGTGGGGCTGAGGTCCTCTCCTGGGTCAGCCACCTTGCAGCCTGCTTTTCCGCAGCTGCAGCTCCTGCCCGGCACTGTTGGATTCCGAGGCTCGTCGTCCTTTTATGAGACTCTGAGCCATGCTGAGCACTGCCCCCGTTCTGTCCTCCCCTCAAAGTGCCACCAGCACAAGGCTGTGGTGTGGAGCCGATTCCAGTGATGGTTTGGGGTAATGCAGGAGGTGGGGGGTGTCACAGCACAGAAGAGCTGTCCAGGCAATCCATCAGCCACCCCTTGCCATGGGGACTATGTCCTAGGCTACATTCCCCCAATCTCGGCCTCCTGTCTCCCTGAGGCACCCATCTCCTTGGCTTTCCCCTCCCTTCTAGAACCTTCTCTTCTCCCACTGCCACCTTCTAAAACCCAAATTTCTGTTCTTTTCTTACATGGATCTTTTTGTTTCTCCCTTGGCACTAAGGTCTGCTTCTGGAAAGTCAAGGAAACGTCCCAGTGTGTTTTCTTAAACAGAAGAAACCACCTCCCCTTGTCTCCACCCTCAACAACACAAGGAACTGAAGAAGCTTTGAAATTAGAGGTTTCTTAAACATGATGGGTTTCTGAGCAGGGCTCCCTCCCTCCCGACCCGTCTCTAGGTGGGGAGAAGTAGAAGGATGTATTCTCAGTCCACGGCGAACCCCGTTTACTGATAGGCTATTTTTTTCTGGCTCTGGCTGGCACCCCGGGCCCTCGGGAGAGTTTTACCCAGAGAACTGCCCTTGTCCTTACTCCAAGGGGGCCTGGCCGTCACCCACACGAGGGCCCTCACTCACTACTTTTCTTAGGCATAGGCTTGACCCACTATCTCTGTTTTTCCTTTGCCACCTTTTCTTTGCAACACGTTTTGATTTCTTTGACAATTTCTTTGCTTTGGCTGTGTGTGGAGGGATCTGCTTTGAGCCCAGTCCTGGGCCTGGTGTCTTACAGTGGCAGAGGGGCTGGGTAGGGCCTGCATGGTGGGTGTTTGAGAGGCAGGTATGGAGTGGGCCGAGTGTGGGCTCTGGAGCCAGGCTTCCCGGGCATAAATCTTGGTCCTTCCCCTTTCTGTCTGGGGCATGTTACTCAGCTCGTTTGTGCCTCCGTTTTCTCCCATGAATCACAGTATGAGAACCCCTGTCTCACAGGGGTTGTTGTGAGGGTTGAGCTTACACGTGTAAAGCATTGGGCACAGTGGTGGCACGTGGCACTGTGACACTCTAAAGGTCCAGGGCACTTTAAGTGTTTGCTGTTAGACATGCTGTATGTCTGCTTCCCTCAAAAATGACAGCCTGCCCGGGGAGGTGCTGACCAAGTCATCTTCCACTTTAGGGTAGGTATTCCATTAGCTCCTCTGCTGGAGGAGGGGACAGTTCCTCCCAGCTGCCTTCAGGGTGGAGAGGGCTTGGTGAATGATTGAGTTTGGGATTCTAGACCCAGGGTGAGGTGGCTCCAGGAAAACACAGCGAGGGGTTGGGCCTGGGCCGGGGAGCCATCTCTGGGCTCCACCCAGCCTGTGACTGGGAATTCCCTGCACAGCTCATGCATTCCTTAGCGGAAAACAAGGCCCACCCAGCAACTAAGTGGTTCCTTGTTGCATTTCAAAATGGCGAAGGCAGTTGGAGTATTGGATGGAAAACCCGAACGTGTGCTGCCTCCGTGTCCCTCACTGCAGGGAAGAAAGGAGGCAGCTTCTTGGGATGGAGGACAGCTCCCTGCACCTGGCTGCGTGATGCCTGGAGGGAGCTCCTGGCTACGTCTCAGGGGGCGAGATCCCAGCATTCCTTGGGAGAGGCTGACCTGTAGGGCCTTACCACGGGGCCTCCGCCTGGTTAGTTATAAAGTGAGCTTTCCTCCAGAGATTTCCCTGTCCCCTGTGCCTGCCTCTTTCTTCCTCTTTTTCCAGGAAATCCCACACACAGCCTTCTGGGCGAGACAGCTGGCTGTGCTGGAGCAAACTGTGGTGACTCTGTGGCCAGTTCTAATGCAAGTCTCACTTTTTGTTCCCTCCAAGGTTCTTCAGAAGACCTGAAATTCTGTGTGCTGTATCTGGCAGAGGTGAGTCCTTCTCTCTGTGACCTCGCACTGGAGGGAAGATGTTGGGCTGGGTTCTAGGCCAAGGTGCTGATCTCGCCTCCACACCATGTCATGCCCCGGTCCTGGGCAGGTCCAGAATGGCAGTGGCCTGCTCTGTGGACTGGGAACAGCCGTCCCTGCCCCTGTGTCTCTGGACATGAAAGTGTTGGAGGATCCCTCTCTCAAGACCGCCTGGTCTCCAGCACCCACAGGGTGATAGCGAGGCCGTGGCCTGACACCTGTCGATCACCCTATTTATTTATTTGGTTCCCCTCGCTCTATCTAGCATGTGCCTTGATCCTTGCGCTCCTTGCACGTGCCTCTTTCTTCCTCTTTTTCTGGGAAGTACCACCCATGACCCCTCCTACAGGGTCTTGTCAGTGTTTTCAAACGGCCTGAGGGTAATTGTACCTTTACCTGGGCCAGATGACACAGGCTAAAGAAAACATCAGCTGTCTGTGATTGGTGTCCTGGTTACCTCAGTCTGATCAGAAGCTCGGACGGGCGGTGCTGGGCCTCTGCTGAGCAAAATCGGGCCAACAACTTATTGCTTGATATGGTTTGCTAAATGCAATATCATCACCAGGGGTTTAATCAGAGAGGTCCTTGGTGATGAAAATTTGAGAACCAATGAGCCGTACAAATTCTTTTCGATTTTCAGCACATATTCTCTTCCCAACCTTGTGTCTCTGCCAATATGAGTAGGGGTGCTATCTGTTCCAAGCAAGAATTCATTCGACCCATTCCTGCCCTCTGCTTCTGCTTAAGTCTGCCTCACTCAACAGTCCTGCGCGCCTGTCTTGTAGAAGTCTATACTGGCCATACTCTGTGGGTGGAGCATGGTCTACACTGGCTGGCCAAGAGGTGCACCCTTTTGAGAAGAACATGTGTGTGTTGTTTGTAATTGAAAATCATTCCTTCAGTTCCTGGCGCTTCAGAGCTGGCGGTGTTCAGTTCCACAGAACCAAGGGAGCAGTTTAGAAGCCGTGAGCCAGGCAGGGACAAGCCAGGGCATTGGCTCCTCCAGCCTCACCCCTCTGGGTGCTGAGTCTCTCTGGCAGGGCCTGAAGTGAGTCTCCAGGTTCTTTACCGCCAAGAGAGCTTCCTGCCAGGCTGGGTTTGTTTTTCCCAGAGAAAAGCACTTCGGCTCATTGGTTTCCAGGGAGCTGTGACTCCTAACCCTCCAAAGACTGATGAAGGGTGATCGATCTGTGGCCTCTTATTTCTGTAAAGTGCCAGGTGATCTGACCCCAGGGGCTGGGGGATTGAAGCTCACAGGCAGCCAGAAGTCTCTCTTTTCTCTTAATGGGCTGTTATTTACGAGAGGTGTGTCTGTAATGCGGGGAAGACAAGAGGCCTTCTTGCCTTGTAGCTGGGAACAGGATTGACCCAGTGGTTTTGGATCCCATGGAGATCCCCGAACTCACATCTTGGTTGGAACTTCCAACAGTGGTTTCTTCATTACCCAATGTGCAGGTGGCCCCCCGAGAAGAAACCAGGGCAGGGAGGGCAGGCTTGGAGAGGCTTTTCCACCGCACTGAGAAAGCCCCAAGGGCCCGGGTGGCAGCAGCTCTGAGTGTTCCCCAGCAGTAGGTCCTGAGTGGGATTGTCCTAAGCAGTCCTTGGCCCTGGGGTCTCTATACACCTGGACAAGTGTCCCTCAGCCCCTGCAAATCCATGGGACAGATGCAGCACACGACTGGCTGCACTGGGGGCCCTGGGGTCAAAGGGCATGTTGGCCGGGGGACCATTCTCTAAGTTAGAATCTGATCCTGGCTTCATTAACTTAAGAGTCTGTACTTTGGGGTTAGGAAGACCGAGATTTGAACCTTGGCTCTGCCATTTCCTGAGCGATCTGGGCTAGTCACATACTCATCTCTGAAACCAGGCTGATGCAGCCCACCTTGCAGGACTGTTGTAATGATTAAATGAGATTCAATAAGATACTGTATCCAAGGCACTTTGCACAGAGGCTGGCACACGGTGAGAGCCCCATGAATGGCAGCTCTTGTTACTGCCAGCTTCCTCACAGGGGGACAGCTTTTCATATTCATTTACTCTCCATTAGAGACATCACCAATGATTTATTGATCTTTTGAAAAGAAAGCAAAGAGGGAGATCTCACGTTCTTTGTAATGTACGGATACAGTTGTACAAATGGGTCAGGATCCCAGGCTCTGGAGGAGGCAGAGGACAGACTTTGAATCTCTCCTCTCCTGAGACCTCCTGGGCTGCCGACTTCACCTCTCTGAGCCTTAGTCTTCTCATCTGAAACGTGGTAACAGCTGTGCCTTTCCTTCGCCCCCCCGCCCCCATCTCATAGAGTCATTAGGAGAATCGGATTAAATGAGAGAATGTTTGTCAAAGCAAGTGAAGAAACTTAAATCGTAGCAGAAGAGGTTTTAGTATTTACAAAGATACTGTTAGTTCAGGAAAAGGAGATGAGGCAAGATGGGGGTTTTAAAGAGGCCAAGAGGACCTGGGGGTCTGGTGGGCCTGGGGATGCTCGTGTTTGAATGCAGAGGCCGGGGCGCAGGGCTGCTGCATCTGCATCTGTGCTTGGCTAACCACCCTGTGGTCAGGAGGGCCTGCATCTGAGCGTGTTAAGGATGCCTTCAGGGCGGCTTCCAGACTTGACCCTGGAGCCCGGTATTGGGGGCACAGTGTGCACCAGTCTTGAAACCGATGAGCTGGCTCACACAGTGGACTGAGAGATGGTCCACATGCTGGGGCAGCCAGGCAGGCAATAGGGGCCCCTGATTTTGACAGATTGAGGAGGATGGGAATTCAGGCTCCCTGGAGGGAGCTGGCTTCTTGCTCTCTCTCCTGCCTGGGCCAGCCTCGAAAGCTCCAGAAGCACTTAGAGAGGGAGGCTTTGGAGCAAGGGTCTTCCCAAATTGGTGCCCATCCCAGACAGCCAGCCCCACCCCCAGGCCAGGCCTGGGTTCAGGTCTTTGGTGCTTCAAAAGCCTTCTGGGTCCTCGATCATTGCAGGGCTCACAGCTTCACCCTTTCAGGGGCAAGGCCCAGCCCTGCACTCTACTGTCGATACAGGCGATGCGGTGGCCATCCTGAGTGCCATCCCTGCTTGCTGCCTTGCGAGATTGTGGGAAGAAGGATGAGGACACTGCTGTGAAGTACTGAGCACTGTGTGGGGCCTGGGGTGGTCGGTGGCTGTCTCAGCCCTTCGCTGGGAGAGGCCCGTTCAGCTTCAGTGGGGAAGTTTCTTTGCGCTTCTGGAGGAGGGGGCCACCGTCCTGGAGCTCAGAGCAGGGCACAGCTGTACAGAAGCTGCCAGTGAACTCTGCAGCTGCTCTGAGACCCACTGGCCGACAGACTTCTTCTGAAGGCTTTTGAACTCTGGTTGCTTTGAGGCCCAGTGTGCAAAGGGGAGCATTCCTGCCAGCCAGCGGTGCGGCTGCCTCCTGGGAGGCCTCCCAGGTTCTGGGGAAGAAATCACAGCAGGTGCTTCTCTGGGCCTCTGAGTCTGTCTTCTGCTGCTCACTGGCCATAAGCCCTCAGGGAGGCCCTTAGCTCTCTGAGCCTTGCTTTTTCCCTTCCATACAATGGGAGTAACAATCTGTGGCCTCTCTGCCTGTTCACGGAATTGTCAAGATTCAAATGAGGTCACGGAGGAGAAAGTGCTTTTAAACGTTGATGGTTAGATACAAGAAATTATTATTAAGGCAGAATTCCTGCTTCAGAACAGAAAGAGAGGAGGAAAATGGGGCTCAGGGAGATTAAGAGATTTGCTGAAGCCCAAACAGCTGGGTAGAGGCAGGGCTGGGGGGCTCAGGCCAGGGCCAGCTTTGTGGAGCCATGGCTTTTCCAAGCTGGAAGGGGCCGTCGTCCGTGCCTCACGCCTCCCCTCGCAGGGGGAACATGATGAGACAGGTTGCAGAGGGCCCTCAGGTCAGCTCCTGCCCCACCTGGCTTCTCCCTGGGGAATCTCAGGGTCTTTTGCTGGGCGTGCCCTTCCCCTGCAGTGGGCTGGGGGTTCCGGTAAGTGGAGGAACCTGCTGGTAAGTGGTCGGATTGCCTTCCCACATCGGCCAGTTCCCTGAAGCCAGGGGTGGGGCCTTCTTCCCTCTCTCCTCTCTTGCTTTTGGGAAGATCAGCTTCTGAGCACTTTGAGACAGGAGAGGGATGGCTGGTATCTTGGGAACACTTAGCGTGGGAAGTGGCCTCGCCCTGGAGGGTGGCATCCCTGAGGGTTGGGCTGGATGGCAGGGTAGAAAATGTCTCCAAATGCTCTTAGACAAGGCAGATAACCACCCCAGCTCAGAGCCTTTGCATTGGCTGTTCCTTCTGCCTGGAACAGTTTCTCCCAAGCACTTTCCTTGCTGGCTCCTTATTGTTCAGGCCTTTGCTCATTTGCTGGCCCCTTCAGAGGGGCCTTCTCTGCCCACCAGGCTCAAGTAGGACTTCTCCATTTTGGCCTTTTCACAGTTTGTAATTATATTGTTTAATTGTTGATCAGTTTATTGTCTCTGCCCCCAACCTGAGGGCCAGAGCTTGGTCTCTCTTCCTTCCCTCTTTACCCCAGGGCTTAGAACAGTCCCTGCCACACAGCAGGTGCTTAGTAATGTTATTAAGTGAATGAAGTCCGAGTGATAACAACAGTCGTTGCTGGTTTGAGGGAGGCGAGATGGTTGTCACTGCTCGCCCTCCCCACAGCTCTGAGAGGCACGTGCTGTCTTAGCATTCCCATTTTACAGACTTTCCTGAGGTCGCCAGCTAGGAAATGGCAAAGCTGGGATTCAAACCAGGTCTGCCAACTACAAAACAAGAAAGGACTGCATCGAAACATTGTCTTTTTCTCTGTTCCAAGCCATCCTGTCATGCTCTTAGCTCGCTGGCTGAGTTCATCTAATCGCAGCCCTGTGGGGTTATAATCAGATTCCAGCGGAGTCAGAAAGAGCTTGCAACCCCCTGATCAGAGTGTCCTGCAGTGGATGATAACCCTGGGCATGCTGTCCTGCCCCGCCCCCAGCACGTTCCGACTGCTTCGGCTGGCTCTCTGGGTCCCAGCAGCTCCCCCGTGCTTGTGCCAAAGCTGGCCTGGCTTTGACGTCATCCCGGAAGTCCCTCCAGGGAGCCAGAGCTTCCTGAGGCCATTATTTGCCAAGCACTGTGCTAGGCCCTGCTGAAAAAGGCCCTCCTAGAAGGAGTTTCTAGTCTAGATGGGGAGACGAGACAGCAGCATTTAACAAGGGTAAATAGCAAGGCGAGATGTAAATGACAGCAGTGCTGGAGCCTGCTGTTGCTCTCAGTTGATCAGGCCCAGCTCACGTGCCAGGCAGGAGTGGGGCTGCAGAAGGCCGCACAGCTGTGTCCGCCAAAGGCTTTCTTTCCAAAGGGATGTGAGTTTCTGTTTGAGTTCTGTTGGTATGTCTGTCCAGCCACCCATCTAGCCTTGGCCTCGTGATCAGATGGGGCACTGAGGTGGGGGAGGGGCATTCTGGGAGCCGGGGGAGGAGTCCTGGCTCCTCAAAGCATCAGAGGGCCAGAGACTTTGTGCAGCCTGTCCCTGGGGGTGACCTCACCATTTCTGTCCTGCGGCTCTCCACAGGCCTCCACTGTGTTGGGAACCACCGCCTCCCTCCCCTCCCCCAACCCGTGGGCACACGGCTGGCCAGCTGGCCCCCGAGCCAGCCTCCCTGCTCCTCTGGCTGCCTCGATGTCACTGGGGATTAGTGTGCATTTGTTGCTTTTAGCGGGCACTCCCCTCACTGCTGCAACCTCACCCTCTGGAGCCCAGGGATGGGCTTGGGCCCCGGAGCCCCCGAACCAGGGAGCAGGCCTGACCGTCCCTTTCTCTGTTTTCCCTGACGTCAGAAGGCAGAGTGCTTATTCACTTTGGAAGCACACTCGCAGGAGCAGAAGAAGAGAGTGTGCTGGTGCCTGTCGGAGAACATCGCTAAGCAGCAGCAGCTGTCGGCCTCGCCCCCGGAGAACAAGGTAAGGGCCTTGCCAGTGGCTGCAGCCCTGGCTGCCTGGCTTCCCCTCGGCCAGCCTGGACCCTTGAGTGTCCGGATTGAGTTTGGGACCATTCCGAGCTTAGGACTTGGATCTGGGCAATGAGCTTGGCCAGGAGGCCTGTGCTCAAATGTCTCTCCCCATTGGCCTCTCACTGGTCTGTTGAGTGGGTTCAGATTGCTCAGGTAGAGTGACAGAGCCAAACCAAGCGTGACCCATCGCTTCTCAGCTCTGTTCTGTGGTTTGCCTATGGCAAGGTGGAATTTGGGCTGGCCTGCCTGCTGCTGCCTGGCATGTGGTTCCCCTCTGCCATTGGGTAGGTCGTGCCCAGGGGCAGCACACTGGTGTTTAACACTGGTCCAAGGCACACGTAATTGAGAGGGACGTTTACAGAAGCTGTTCTAGTTCGACGCAGGCCACAGCCAAGTGGAGCCAAGTGGAGTTTGCTGGGGCCTCGGGGCTGGCCAGCTGGAGCATCAGTGAAGATTAGAGACTCTGGGCTGAGGCTGATCTGGGATAGGCGCCCCTCAACTTGTCCCGTGACTGTGAAGGGGGATAGGATGGGAGCTGGACCATGGTGCCAGCCACCAGGCAGAGCTGTAGTTCCCATTTGTGAGTCAGGTGCCATCTGTTGCTAAAAGTGTTGGCCATGTTTGGATTTGGTCTGGTTGGCTGCAGAAGGAGCGGAGGTAGCTGGACTGCTGGACAGGCGGGGGCGGATAAATGAAAGTGAGCGGCAGCCAGTAAGCTTGCTGGGCTTGTTGCTTCTCCCCGATGCATTCAGGCCTACTGTGCCATGGGCAGCAGGCGTGGGGACAGGCCTCATGAGGGCAGGAGGCGGGGCAGAGGTGGCTGGACAGCCTTTTCTGGGGGGACAGTGGGGGACGCAGCTCTCAGCTATTCCCTAAGGAAGGGAGAAAGACTCTGAGAATTATGTAATCTCTGACTTGAAAGTTATCTTGTTTCACACTAGCCAGGGGTGAGAATAACTCTGATGAGAGAGGACAGCGGGAAGAGCACGGACTTCCCAGTCACACTCTGCTGCTGACTGGCGATGTGACCTTGGGCAACTCACTGTACTACTGAATGCTTTGGTGTCTCCAGCTGGGGACAACAGTTCCTCCCCCAAAGGGTGGTTGTGAGAATTAAATGAGAGGCTGCATGTACAGTTGATAGCATGGAGCCTGGTGTGCAGCAGGCGCTCAGTCAACCACAGCTGTGGGGAGTCCACGGCTCCGGCGTCCACCCAGGCTGCTTGTTGCTACGCTGGCTGGTTCCCCGCTGTCAGGTCCTTCTACTGAACAGAGATGTATCCCAAGGCCCCAGGTCGGTCACAGTCAGAAACTAGGCCACTCCCTCTTCACTGGGGCAGCCCCTGGGATGTCGTGTGGCTGAACTCCCGTCCCTAGCTTTCTTGTCTTCGGACTTAGCTCCTCCTGGTCTGGGGGAAAGAGTTCTTTCTGCCTCAACTTCAGAGTTGGTGGGCTCTGGAGTGTGTTGGCAATAGCCTTCTCAAGGCCGTGGGGTCTCTCCATCTTCCATCGGGAGGACAGTGTAAGTGACTGAAGGGAGATTGGGTTTCTGAGACAGCCTCTGGTCCCTGCAGGGCTGCGGCCTGGGCTGGCTGACCCTGGAAGGGCCTAGGACTTTGGGGCCTGGCTTCAGGGCCACACCAAGGCTATATGGGCATCCCGGGCAGGCAACAGTTGGATGCCTCTTCAAATCAAGACTCTTTAAATGTGTGTTTAATGGAGAAGCTGTGTGCGGGTGGGAGAAGGGTGAACAGAAGGAGAGCCTGACCCCTGAGACAGCCTCAGCATCACCTCCTCGCCTGAGAACCGGGCCCAGCCCCAGCCTCACACACCCCATGTGGCCCGAGTGCCTCAGAAGGCAGTTATGCGACCAGCTTTTGTTAGGTGGGCTCCTTGGGGGTCTCACTGCCCAAGCTTCCCCACTCCACCAGACACACTTAAGGAATCTTAGCAACTTACTCCTTCTAGTCACTTGCAGAATGCTCCCTGAGAGAAGTTCCAGTAAATACAATTTTCTCCAGCCCCACGTAGCTCCAGGAGTGCTTTGGCAGTCTTAACAACTCGGCCCACGTGGCTGCGCAGCCGGTCACAGGTCATCCGCCGGTGCTCGGCTCCCTCAGGTCCTGGCCACCTCAGAGGTGACCAGGAACCTCCTTGCCAAAGGCTGGGCTACAGCCTTGCCGCTGGGGTTGCTGTCCTCCAGGGGAGAGGGAAGAAGGCAGGTGGAGCAGAGCGCCGACACAGGCTTCTTGCTTTTCAAGCAAAAAGGGTCCTGCTTGACCAACTTGTTCGAGTCCTGACTGAGTAGTGTGCCTTTTTAAACGCCTCTTCTTTGTTCTTCCTTGTGAGGGCTCCGCCTTCTGCTGCGCCATGGAAATGCTGCCTAAGCCACTCCCCGCGCCCCCCGACTCAAATGCCTCTCTGGGGAAAGAGGGGTTTGCAAGGCAGCTCGCCAGACTTCCATGCCGCCCCTTCCCAGCCCTGTTCCTTCCAACAGCGTTCGCTGACACCTTGGAAGGGGCATTCTTAAGACAGTCTGAGGAATGCAAAGTTCTTTCCCAATTTGGGAAAAGTAAGGTGGTATGCCCTGAACATGAATGCTTGTTGGGAAGGACGGAGGGAATTGGAGGAAGGTGGATTCAGAGAACAACAGAGAGGCAGGTGGGCCACTACCTGCTGTGTGACCTTTGGCATCTGCTTCCCACTGTGGCCTCAGTGGTCCTGTCTGCACATTGGTCGGGTGGCTCTTTTTAGCTCTTCAAGCTGTGTGATTATCGTGAAAGCTGAGGGCCTGGGGTCATCCAGTCTTCACTAGGGCACTCTGTCCTGAAGGTTTCCGCATAACTTGACTGCCTGTGAAATCGGCCAGGGCTGTTCCCTCCAGGGGGGTGGGGGAACGGCAGGCACAGACTTTTCTGTCCGTGTCTGAGGTGCCTGTGGCCTGTGGGTTGCAGTGTGGGGCTCCAGCTGAGGCAGGATGGACACAATGGCTGCATCCCTTCTCTGGGGGCTCCCAGGCCTTTCTCTGGCTCACTCTTAGCTGACCATGGCAGGCAGAAGGCTGCTCTGGGTGGGCGTGCATGCTCTCCCTCTTTCTGTAGAAATGACTGGCCCACTTCCTCTCCTCTCCCAGCTTCCTTCTGCTCACCACCCCCTCTTCCTCATCAGAACTCTGCCCCCTCTCTTGCTTCGTCGTCTATCCCCGGAGGGAACCTATCTGTTTTCTTCTGCCTGGGATGACTTTTTCTAAACTCCCTGCCTGGGGAGTGCTGATGCTTCTAATCAAGAACAGTTCGCAGGGGGTCCCACCTGTGGCCATTGAGATTCCAAGTGAGTGGGGACAAACAGATACATATTATTTTAGTTATTCAATCAGGCATACATCATACATGCCTGCTCTGTGCCAAACACTAGTTCAGGTCCTTTGGGATCCCAGAGATGATTGACACCTGGTCCCTGTCCTTAGAGAATTCTCTTGTAATTGGACAGACATGGCAGGCACCAGCGTGGCAATCCAAGCATTAAAGGCCATATCTGATGGGTCGTAAGAGTGGTCCAGGGCAGTCTTGGCTGCACATCCGTCATCCACTTGGTGAACCTCCCCTGAGCCCGCACTGCGGGCCTGGCCAATGGGAAGCCTTCGAGGAGAGTGGGCCCTCCATAGAGCTGTCAGGCATGAGGAGGGGGGCGCGGGGCAGCAGGTACTGCCTGTTCTCAGGGTGTGCCCTGGGCTTGATGCTGGGAACGCACGGATGGATCCGTCGCATTCTTTCCTTGGGAAATCACGGTCCGGTGGCGGAGGCAGAAATGCCAACCGATTGTTCAAAAATAACATAGCAAGTGATATGGGAGGTGTAAGTGCTTACCGCTCTGTGACCTCAGGTGACACACCGAGGCTTTCTGAGACTCAGGTTTTTCCTTTCAATAAAGTGGATGGATTAACAGGGTTCTCATGAGGACTAAACTCATGTAATGTGCTTAGCAAAGTGGTGCCCAAGAAGAACTCTGTGAGTTTTTGTTATTATTATTAAAGTTATGTCTGTATAGAAGATTCATCCAGTGGCCTTGTTGATTGAAGCTGAATGCTGCCACTCTGAGCACATGTGACAACTGCTCCATGCCCCTTCCTGGTAGCCACCTCACATATTCCAGGGCCCAGGCAGGGAAACTGAGGTCTCCTGGGTCTGCTCAGGCTGTAAGACTTTTCCCAAATGGGACCCCAAGGTGCATGCCACCTTGTCATCTCCGTTGGGGCAGCCAGAGACGGGCCCGGAGATGCCAGGTCTGTCTGAGCACCTTAGGAAGGAGCAGGGGCAGGTCCTGGAGTCAGGCAGCCCTGGCCTGAGTGGACAGCAAGCTAATTCCAGTTCTGTCTGGTTCCACAGAAACTCCACCCTTATGGCCCTCTCCAGCAGGAGATGGGGCCGGCCAGCTCAACCAATGCTACCCAGGATAGAAGCTTTACCTCATCAGGACAGACTCTGATTGGCTGAGCAAACCCAAGGGCCGGACTCTGCTTCTGGCAACTTAACCCTTTCTTGGGCATCCCCTACCACACAGTAACCTCACCTCAACTGGACCCAAAATGGAGGACCAAGATGGTGGGCCTAGGGTCCCCTGAAGGGAGTGACCCCACGAGTGTGTGTGCACTGGCATCAGAAGGACCACGGTGGTGTGAGAGGCCCTGTGGGCACGTGCAGACTGGCATCAGAAAGCCCCAAATGGAGAAGACTCAGAAGCTTATTCGCTACAAGGAAGAAGGAGCTGGAGTAGCATCTGGATGTCCAGTGGCTCCACCTGCCTTGGGGGCAGCAGGAGAGGCTGGGAGAGGTCAGCCAGATGGAAAACAATACCGTGATCCTCTGCCACCAGAAGACATCTCCACCCGTTCACCGCGTTCCTCTGTACTCATTTGTTCATTCCTTCACTCAACGGATATTTTGGGGGCACCTACTTTATGCTCGGCTCTGTGCGAGGAGCTAAGGATACGGAGGAGAATGAGGTGGATGTAGTCTCTGCTCTTACCAAGATTTCAAAACATTAGCACCAACACACACACGTAATTACAAACTGTGATAATTTATGGAGGAGAAGAATAGATTCCTTTAAGAGAGACTATTATTTAGATTGTAGTGTGGGGGGGTTGGGCAGGGGAGGAGCATAACTTTAAAGCTGAGACCTGCAGGCCGGAAAGGAGGTAGCCTGTCAGGGACTTAAGAATGTTTCAGGCAGATGGAACAGCCTGTGGACAGGACCTGGGATGGGAAGGAGCTTGGCGTGCTGGAGGCACAGAGCCAGGCCAGCGTGGCTGGAGCTCAGCGAGGAGGTGAATGGCGGGTGGTGGCTAGCTCATGCAGGGCTGTGGGGGTGACTGCTCTGTTGATTTTATTCTAGATACAGTGGGCAGCCATTGAAGGCTTTTGAGAAAGGGAGTCACAGAGTCTCAGGTACCTTTCTAGAAGATGAGCGAGTGCAAGGAGGGGCCCAAGTGGGTGTGAGGAGATCAGTCAGGGGGTCCCTTCAGTCTTCCAGTGATGGGGAGGGGGGGTATGTGAATGCCCAGACCCTTGGATGTGGCAGAGGCTCTGGAATGAGAAGAGATCATTTCCCCTCCCTCCATGCCCCCCGCAACCCTCCACTGCGTCTGGCTCTCTCAGTAGATGCGAGTGAGGACCGGGGCCTTCCGCACAGAGCCCCTCCTAGCCAGGCCTGGATAGGGCCCAGCGCTGAGTTCTAGGAATGTCCCTGGGAGTCGGGAGCAGTGGGCGCTTCATGTGGCCAAGGTGAGGAAAGTCCCGGCCCCCAGGCGTCAGCAGGGCTGCCGGCGCTGTCCCTCCATCCTCCTGTGCTGAAGGGTGTGATGGGAAGCCGGCGCTCAGCCCTCTGGAAACTCACTTGGTTTGCTCTCTGCAGAGCTCCAGGGTCAGGGACCGGGGTGAGGTGTGGCTCAGCCACCCTAGTGGAGACAGTCCTGCCACAAGGCTGAAGAGAGACCTGCCCAGGGGACAGTGATTAGAGCTCAGCCTGCTCCCTGCCTGCAGCTGGAGTCCAGGGTCGGGCAGCTCTCACACCCTCCTCTAACTGCCAGGACTTAGAGGGCCACAGGGCAGAGCGACAGCTCACACACAAAGGGTATGTATAGGATCAGGGTCAGAGACGCCCGACAGATGCTCAGGCCAGAGAAGCCCCGCACCTTGGGCACTCTCTGTGTTGTGTCCTGCAACATTTTCAGGGTCTTTAGAGAGGGGTCTTGTGCCCTGCTGAGTCTGCTCAGCTGCTGTGGCCGCTTGAAACCCAGGAAGAGTGGCTCAGAAGAGAATTTGTCCCTCGCCTCCCGCTTGTCCTCCTCCCAGCCTAGGAAAGAGCAGGCGTGTCGCATCAGCAGGCTAACGGGATGGGACGTATCTTCCGTGACCAGGCCCATGTCCTCGCCCAGCTGGGGAATAGACTCGGCCTGCCGTGGGACAAGTGAGACACAGAGTCTGTCAGCTAGGACTCAGCCGCAGGGGTAATTCTGAGGCTGAGCAGCTGGGTCTGCACTGGCAGCAAGCCGCACTTTGATTTCATTTGATTCCCTTACAAAATGACATTAAGGGGGATGTGAGGCACTGCAGAATCGCCTGGCTGGGAAGGCAGCAAGCTGGTCTCTCTGGGACCTGGTGACCGACCTCTGTTCACCAGACGGGTGCAGAGGACAGGAGCTCTGGCCACAGGGAAACGGGGAATCTGAATGCAGCACCCAGCCCTCAGGATGGGCCTTTCCTCCCAGCTGGTCCCCATAAGCTGCTGAGTAGAGTGGATGCTCGCGTCGGGGTCTAGGCCCGGCCGGCTGTTGGAGAAGCAGGCCCTGGCCAGCTGTCCCCGTGGCTGTGGTGAGCCCCAGCACCATTACTGCCACCTCTCAAATCAATGAAACAATTCATCTGCTTCATGGGCTCAAGAAGATGAAATGGGACCGTGTGGCCATTGCTCTTCAGCATCGCAGTCCATCCCAGCCGTTCAGGATGATGAACAAGCTATCGAAATTGCACTTGAGAGTCATAATCACGGGAAACATGGCCGAGCCCCGCCTTCCACATAAATCACGCTGAGAAGCACACACAATGGTCTCTTTCCTGAAGGGCCAATTGTCTTGGTTTGGTGTCCCGGGGCCTAGGAGCTGGGAGGATGGGAGCACAACCATGTATTGTTAAAAAGGCCATCTGTGTGATTTGAATACAAAGTGACCCTTTTAGTCCCCCGCACACCCTCTGATCCTGTCTCATGTTTTCTTATGTCTCAGGCTCTGGGTGTTTGGAAACTCTTGGTCTCTTCTGTAAGCGGGCACGCCCAGGTCTCTGCTGGCCTGGGTCTTTTGGCCCTCTGGGAGTTGGGACCTGTTGGAAATAATGATGACATTTATTTATGTACATCTTGTTTTTTAGTCCTTATTTTTAATAGTCCTAAATTCGGCCACCAAAGCCCTTATTTCACACACACGACACCAAGAGGTTTCTGCACAGTGAAGGCACAGGCAATTTCAGTGGGGCGGGGTGCCCCATGGTGAGAGCATGGGCTCTGGAGAGGGCAGCTGGGGTCCCAGGCCTTTTCTCCCCTAGCCCTCCCCACAGCCTTGTTTTACAGATGAAAGGGACTAAGCTTCAGAGAAGTTAAATGATTTATCCAAGGTCACACAGCTGGTAAGAGACCCAGCTAGTCCTCAAGCCAAAGCTTCCAGCCTAATCTGCTGCTCTTTCCAGACGCAAAGGTTTGCCTTTTAGGGTTGGAAGTAAGAGAAGTCAGTCATCTCCAGGAAGAGGCAGTGGGAGGAGATCCTGCAGGTGGGAGTTGTGGCCCTTTAAGCTCCAGAGGGAATGCTTCAGGACAAACAAAATGAGATCCCTTCTTCTCCACATAGTGGAACCTCCAGAGGCCATAACCCTAAGGGGTGGCCCAGGCTGAAAACCACGGTCGCTTCGCACAAGATTTGAAAAGTCTGACATGAGAGATGAGGCGGAGCTCCTTAAGACTTCCTCTCTGGCACGGGACAGTCTGGTCCACCCCGCCCCTTTTGAGTCTGGCGTTTAAGAGAATCAGCAGACACCGTCTTAGGGTCTGCGGCAGCAATGGAACCGTGGCCAAAGGCAGGAAGGGGTAGCTTCAGGTTCAGGGCCCGGTGCGCTGAGCATGAGGACCCGAAGGAGGCCTTTGACCTCTGCCCAGTCGAGGGCGGGGAGAGAGCCTGCTCGGGTTCTGGGCCCAGAGTTTTTTAATTGACTGGTTTCAGATCTCAACCCTAAGTAGCGGAATCAGCTGGACTAGGTTTCAGATATCTTCCCAAAGAAGCAGACTCTTTTCCCTAAAAAGCTCAGCTGTTCTCCAGCCTCTTCAGCTCCCCCCTGCTCTCCTTGCGCCAGCCTGGCTGTGGATAGACTGCCTTCTTTGCCTTCTTGTTCGTGGCCTCGGCTGTCTTGCTATTTTTTTAGCTCTTAAGACAGCACAACCTTACTCTCTATCCTGTCTTGACCTTATCTTCCTTTGAGCCTTTCTCTGAATAGGGCCACCGTCCTCCAAATTGTTCCCAGATCTTTGGTTTAAGGGTGGAATAATGACAACACTGGGTAATTTGGTGAGCACGTATGCTGTCAGCTTGGCATGGTGCAAGCTTTTTACCCACTTGTCTCTTGAATCCTCATGAGGGTCATTAGCCCTGTTACACACTTACTCTCCTTATACCCAACTGATAGACGAAGACACTGAGTCTTAGAGAAGTTGAGAAACTTGGCCAAGGTCACATAGCTAATGGGTGGCTAAGATGGGAACCTGGGTGGCCCAGCTCCAGAGCACCTGCCTTTGATTGCTCTGCTCTAATGCTTTCCAGCAGTCACAGACCATCCAAGCTGGGAGGGGACAGGGAGGCTGAGCAGTCACGTGCCTGCTTCAAGACCACTGTGGGAGGGCATTGCTTCAGCATAAAACCCTGGTCTTGGTTTGGCTCTCAAGGCTTTCTCTGGTTGCCCTGCTCTCCAGCTTTGCGCCCATGGCCTGGCCACACTGGATTCTTATTTCACACTGGCACATTCACGTGGAGGCTGTTTTTTCTGCCTGATGTTGCGTGCCCTTCTCTGCTGTCTGTGCCAGATGCAATCCTCCACCTTCAAGGCTTGGCGCCTCCCCGAGACGCCTTTCTCAGGCATACCTCGGAAGTCATTGCTTCCACTCTGCCGACCCATAGGATTTTGTTCCTCTTGAGCAGTTTGTTACACAGGTATGTTTCACCTTTAGGACTGTGTGCTCCTTGGGAGCCAGTGGAAGTCATATCTTATTTCTGATTGTGTTACTGCCTGGGCCTTAGGAGGTGCTCAGTAGATGTTGCAGAATTGAATTGGGTCATCTGGTTCAACCCTCTCATGTTCTAGAATCTAGATGAGGGAACTGAGGCTCAAAAAGGTAAAGTGACCTGGCCGGGGTCATGGGACAGGTTAGTGACAGAGTCAGGACTGGAAATCAAGTCTCACGACTCAGAGCTGTTTCTGTTGCACCTTTGCTTTGCGAGACCAGAGCCTGGCTCCCCTCTTGGTGTATTAAGCAATCTGGCCAGGATCGCTTCAGGTCATGGATACCACCATATTTCCTGCTGACTCCTGGCATCCTTGGAGGGAAAGGAGACCCAATCAGAACTGTTCCTATGCTTCTTTTCCCTGGATCTGTGGGACTCCCCTCTCACAGAGTCCCTTGCCCTCAGAGAAAACCAGAGTAAGATTCTGAAGAACTTGGTTCGAATCCTGATTTTGCTGGTAACTCACTGTGTGATTTTGGGCAAATTATTTCACCTCTCTGATCATTTATTTCTTTACCAAGAAAAATAAGGGAGTTGAATTTAGTTGAGCTCCTGGAGTCATCTTCAAAGCCTCGGGACTCTAATAACAGGCTAAAGGAAGAAAGAAAACAGACATTTGGGTCTTCACGTTGAAACCAGAGAGTATGTGTGTGGATATATGCAAGTGTTGTACATGGTTCATATTCATTGTGTCCTTGTGGCATGAGTACCATATGTAGGTATTCTTATGGATCTTGGACAGGAAGGGGTCCTTAACATAGACCCCTCAAATTAGAAGCACACTCTTGCCTCCTTCCCACCCAAAGTTGCCTCCTTCCAGGCTCCCCATGAAGAAGCCAGCACAAGGAGCTTTCCAGCCCAGAATCTTCCCCATCCTTCCTTCCTTTCTGCTCAGGTGGCTGGGCACACACTGGACCCTTTGGTTTGAACTTCACATATATGCGTATGCACAAATATTCTCCAGCCTCTCCAACTGCTGCTCTGTGGAATCAGGCTGACTTTCGAGTGGAAGTTGTGGTCATCCATACGCAGTGCCTTCAGTTTCTAGTGTGGTCAGAAGTCTCTCACACTCTTCCCCAGAAGTTGCCACTGACTTTTTCATCGCTTTTAATGTATATCTTCCTTTGTTCAAACACTACTCAAGGTAAATTTTCTGAAACAGTATCTTTTCAACATTAGTGGTTTTCCATTTTGGTTAAATTCTCCTACAGTCATGCACCACATAACGACGTTTTGGTCAATGACAGACCGCATGTACGATGGTGGTTCCATAAGATTAGTCTCACACAGCCTCAGTGTGTAGCGGGCTGTCCCATCTAGGTTTGTGTCAGTGCACTCTAGGATGTTCACATGATGACGAAATCGCCTGACGACGCATTTCTCAGAGCATATCCCCATTGTTAAGTGACACGTGACTGTACTGCCATGTAGCTTTCTGCTGTTTCTCCTTGTGGAAGGACAGTAAGGGTTAAGCAGATTAGCCTAGGAAGCTGACCGCCATTTATAACACAGTTTTCAATGGGAAAATGCATTGCGAGACCCATCATCAGCTCTCAGATGGACTTTGGGAACGCGACTCAGCATACTCCAAAGCAGGGAATACAGCATTTATTTTATGAGTGACTAGAATTTTGATAGAAGCACAGAATCTTTGAATGTGGAGCTGAAAAGCTTCCTTCCTCCCCCACCGAGATCCATTGATTAACAAGCTGATTTGTAGAAACCAAGACCAAGAGAGGGGCAAGATCTTGGCCAAGGGCCCATGGTTGGTGTTAGAGCTGGACCTGGGACCCAAGTCCCTACCTCCCAGGCCAGTGCTCCTCTTCAGTGACAATGAAGAGTCTGCCAGTTTAGGGGTGGGGAGGGGCACAGATCGTCTTAGAGACACTTGTCATCTTACACAGTTGTGTAGTCATTAGGAAAAGTAAGTCACCACGTTGAGCTGTAATGGAAATAGTGAGAAATGGCCCAGCTAAGGGCGTGGGGAGAGGTCGTCGTTGACTGGCTTGTCTATAAATACCTGGTGCGTTCTTACTGGAGGAGAATGAATGGGGCTGCTGTGTTTTACCTGGAACACAACCATGCAAGACTGGTGGAGACGCTCCCTGTGGTCTGTTCTAAAAATAGTAGTGGGAATGGAGCTGAGGGGAAGGGAAGGGGGCTCCTCCGGGGGCTGGGTGGGGTGCCTCGCCCCCTTCCTCTTCCTGCCAGGCCCCGTGTGAGGAAGTGCCGTAGATGCAGAGAATTTCGATCTGGGAGGGTCCTGGAGCCATCATGCTCATATCCCCTTCCCATACAGAGGAGGCAGCAGTGGAGGCCCAGAGAGGGGGAAAGCCTGGCCAGCAGTCCCGAGCCCGGGGAGAAGGTCCCACATGGCAGGCTGTTCTCCTCCTGCTGTTTTGGCAGGAGGCTGCAGGCCTTGGGAGTTTTCTCTGCCTGCCTCTGGGCGAGCACAGGGCCTGGGAACTCCTGGGGCCGGATGTGCTTGGGCTTCCTGAGAGTCGCCCAGCCGGCGAGGAGTCCCCGGCCAGTCTGCCCTGAGCCCTGACCTCGGCCAGCTGGCCTTCCAGCGCCACGCCTTCCCTTTGCTGGTGTCCCCACCCTTGCTGACTTGTCCTTCTGTCGCCCCCTGGACTGTCTGTAGGGAGGGAAGACAAGGGCTGGCATAGAACTGGCCTGCAGGACTGAGGGCCTAGTGGCCGGGGACGTTTCTCTGCCCTTCCCTGGGAACAAGCAGAGGCAGCTAAGGGCGAGGCAGGGGCCTGGGTTTTGAGGTGGGCCGGCCAGGGTTCAAATCCTAGTTCGGCTTCTCACTCGCTGTGGGATTGCTGGTGGGTCACCTCGCATCTGTCAAATGACACAAGGACACCCATGTCACTGGATTTTTGCGAGGATTACAGCAGACGGACTGTGCAAAATGCCTGGCCTGTGGTGCTCAGGAATGGTAGCCACCGTCACTTGATCAAGCATGGACATGTGCTTGACTCTCTGCGCCCCCTTCCTTGGGGTCCCACTCATGGGGGCATGGCAGGGATTTTTCTTTAACTCAGTTGACTTTTGTCGTGTTGTCACAGGAGTAATTTATGTTTA